CAATCTAGGCTACTAGCCCTGTCCTTTGAGGGACTATCTACAGTTTTCAGCTATCTACTCTTCCAAAGCCCCAGGTGACTATAAGCAATAAGGACACACCAATATATTGTACTGAGTGACAACAGCAGACTAAAAGCCTGGGCCAAGCAGCCAGTTCTTCCTGGGGAAAAGCAGACTTAGAGACTGCTCCCAGGAGAGACCCAGCCAGCCTTTAGCAAGGCTCCCCAAAACTGAAGCATTCACGACTACCTGGAAGCCCTGCCCCAGACAGCAGACCAAGGGCACCCTGAGATGTCAGGGAAGTCTGACCTCCCCATCCACGCCAAGGCTACTGCCGGTCACACTTCACCAAGCTCCACTTAGACCAGTGCACATTTCCACTCTGATCTCTCGGGCTCCAGCTCTCCTCCACAGCACGCCAAAGCTGATGGAAAATAGAACTAGTCACAAGGTTAAACTTCCTCAAGGTTAAACTCGAAAGGAATCCTTGCTACCTAGAAAACAAAGCCCAAACTCCTGAGCACAGCTTTCCAGGCCCTCCACAAACCCATCCAACCACATCTCCATGCCTCTTTTAATCACTACCTGCCCCAGCTCCAGCTCTTAAGTAACCTGAAGAAGTACCCCCCATCCCTGAACCCCCCTTTTCTGCTAAACCACATCTTCTTCCTATACTACGCAATTGTTTGAGCCCAAAGACAGAACCATATTCTGATCTCTATGAAATTCTACCACACTTTTTAAAAATCCTTGTCAGACAATTCCAAATATATGCTAGCATTCCTGAAAATCCTTTTTAAAAATCCTTGTCAGACAATTCCAAATATACGCTAGCATTCCTAAAAATCCTTTTTAAAAATCTTTGTCAGACAATTCCAAATATACGCTAGCTTGTGTCTCCTAAAAATTTATTAAACAAATCTACATCCAAGTTACTTACAGTGATTTTGAACAAGGTCTGGAACACACCCCAAGAAATCTCCAGAATAACCCTGATCTATTAACCTTTGGATATGGTTATTAACTACTTGAATAATTTATTAACTATCCTAACATTTAGCCAACATTCTCATATTATGAGACTGTTGGAGAGCTTGTAAAGGCAAGTACTCTCCCATTTCCACAATTATCAATCCAGAAATCCAGAAGGACTAGTATGACAGACCCTATTCTGAACTGTGAACCCATTCTGCTCCTAGCAATTCTTTTTTCCCAAGGCCAAGTAAAAACCTGCCTTAATGACCTACTCTTCCCATCAGATACTATATCATAAAGCCACAATAAATAAGTATACACAGACAGATCAATGGTCAAGAAATAAACACAAATACATATAGGAATTTAGAATATAACCAAGGTGGCATTTCAAATCAGGAAAAAATGGATTGTTTAGTGACATTTAGACCAAATAGTAAAGTCAGATCTGTACCTCATGCCTTACACTAGGATAAGTTCCAAATGGAAGAAAGATTTAAATATAAAAACTAAAACCAGAAAAGCATGGCATCATAAAATACTAGAAAAAAAATGCTAGCATTTTCTAACAATCTCAGAATGGTGAAGGCTTTTTAAAAACATCACTCAAAACCCAGGAGTTTAAAAAGACTGATAAATTCAATTAATAAAAGTTTTCAGCATGGTAAAAACCACCGTAAGCAAACGACAAAAGCAAACTGTCAAAAAAAAAATGGCAACTCTATATATAGACAAAGGGCAAATTTTCCTAATATATAAAAAGTCATTAAATAAGGAAATAAACAATTGAATAGGCAAAGCATATGGATATTTCACAGAAAAGGAAATTCAAAGAGATCTTAAACATAGAAAAAGAGCTCAAACTCTCTCATGAGGGAAATATAAATTAAAACACACTGATGTGCCATTTTCTTTCTAACATATTGGCAAAGATAACAAAGTTTAACATACACTGCAAAGGTTTGGAAAATACTCATATTCCTGGTGGAGCAAAATTGATACAACATCCAAGAAAGGACTCAGCAGTTCTACTTATAAGAATTTATCCTACAGATACTTATGTGCAAAATGACATATGCACTTGTCATTTGTATACATGTACATGTTCCCATGTTTTGTGGCAGTGAAAGATAGGGAACTGGTCAGGGACTGGTTAAGTAAATTATAGTATAATGAAATTTGAGGCAGCTATTAAAAAGAAAAAAAAAAAAAAAAGAGGAAGCTCCCTATGAACTAAAATGGAATCATCTTCAAATTCTGTCAAGCCTACCTTCAAAAATTATCTAGAATCAAGCCATTTCCCCACCACTTGGCTCAAGACATCATCATCTCTCCTGGCTGAATTAGATTGCTAAGTGATATCTCTGCTAGGATCCTCACTCCCTTCTATCTAGTTCCCAAGAGTAGTCAGGTCCTGTTAAAATATAAACCACATTATGCCAAGTCTGCTCAATACCCTCCAGGGATGCCCTACTTCAGAGTAGAAGCCATAAGTCATATGTCACCATTTCTTCATTCCTACACCCCATTATTTCTCTGACCTCTTCTCTTTTTCAACCCCACTGGCCTCCCTGCTTTCCTTCAACACTTCAAAAATGCTCCTGCCTCACAACGTTTTCTTTGCTGTGCCCTAGAAAACTTCCCTGAGAAGCCACACTGCTTTCTCCCACAACTCCATCTCTATTCACTGTCACCTCAGCCAGACCTTCCTTGTCCATCCTACTTAAAATTGCATGGACACACACATACACACACAAATGTGGTATTCTCTGTATAATCTTCAGCTTTTCTTAGTTTGAAATTGTTCATAAAAATGTTGAAAAAACAGACCCACATAAAGCTAATCCCCTTTCCTTGCTTTCCCACTGCACTTGTTACCATCCAACATCCATTGTACTTATCCATCTACCCCACACACAACATACAGAATTTAAACCCCATTAAGGGCAAAACAGGGACTTTTGTGTTTTGTTCACTACTCTATTTCTAGCTTATAGAAACAGTGCCTATACCTTTACCAACATCAAATTCCTGGTTTTTATTTTGTACTATAATCGTGTAATATGTAACCATTGGGGGAATTGGGATAAGAGGTCTTGTCACTCCCTCCCTATCTGTACTATCTTTGCAACCTCCTGTGGGCCCATTATTACTTCAAAAAATATATATTGAGAAAACAGGGCCAAGTACATAACTGGTACTCAATACTTGTTGAATGAATAAATCCCATGACTTAGTGAAATTAAATGATTCATATTAAGTGATAACATACTACCATTGTGTGAAAAATAAAGGGAAGGATTTTTACATATAATTGCTTACATATGTATACATTATCTCTGGAAGAAAAAATAAAAACTGATCATACTGGTTGCTCTGGGTAGAAAATCTGGGTGACTGGAGGACAGGGTGAGAAGACTTCAACAGATCTTCTGTACCTCTTGAGTTCTGAACCATGTGAATATATTATCTACTCACAATACAAATTAAATTTTAAAAATTTCTGTTCTACCCTATTCCTCAGGGTCAATGTCAATTTTCTATCTAGTTTCCAGAATTCAGTTTCTTTCCATTTTTGAAAAATCACTACTGCAGTTTTCACACCTCTGCACCTGTTCTTGCAGGGATCCTTAAGTCTTACATGGCCCTCTCCGCTTTAAAAAAAATAACCAAACGCTCTTGAACTTAAATCAGAGGGGGAAAAAAGGCTATCAAAGACATTTTAAGGATAAATAGGAAACTCAAATATCAAAATACAGTATATACAATATTGTTACTGTGACTTTTCTTAAGTTCGATAGTGGTATTGTGATCACGTAGAAAAACGTCCTTAATCTTAAGAGATAATGTTGAAGAATCTAGAGGTAAAGGGCCATAATGTCTGCAACTTATTTTTTATGCGTTCCTACAAAAAAAGAAATCTGTACACATATAGATATGTACTGACTACATATATGTGCATATGTGAATATATCTCTATGTAGATACAGATGTTACAGAGATAAAAACTAACATGGGAAAATATTGATGAATCTATGCAAAGGTTATATTCTGTACAATTCTTCCAACTTCTGCAGGTTTGAAAATTTTGAAAATAATAAGTTAGGGGAAAATTTTTTTAAACCTACTAAGTGTCCCAAAATGAGCTCAAATGTCACTCTTCAGAGGTCCTTCAGGATACACGCAGTTGGGAAGTCACTCCTTTTTCTGCATTTCCAAGGCACTTATGTTCATCCTTCAATAGACTGAGTGAAAAAAGCATGGGGCTTCTCAATCAAGCCCATAAATTTCAATACCCTCTCATGTGCACACCTCTAGGTTCATGCTCACACATGCATCCCAGCAAGGCCTAGAATAAACAGAAGATCTTAAAAGGATCAGACACTGGCTAGTTAATGTCCAAATCTCAAGAGCGGGTAAGAAGGCCTGGGGTGAGCTTGTCAAATTCTTGCCAGGGAAGTGTTGGGGGATAGGGTGACAGGGGGACTGGGATGTTGTCAGTGGAAGGACCAGCCTCGGAATAGAGCCCAGCCCCTAGACCTACTGTGGATGCCCCTTTAATTTGGGACACCAAGGTTTAAATTTCAAAGACTTCAATGACTAAACTCTATCTTTCATAATCTTAGCTTCCATCATAATCACTCAGCCTGCTCTTTCAGACCAAGGGGCTGTGTGTATGTGTTCACAAGTTCCCTTACTAGAACACTTAATCCCATAAATTTCCCACGCATTCCCACACCTGGATGACAAACTCAAAAACACCACATCTCTTACTCCCTACAGTCAACCACACAGGCAACCCAGCACATATTTAGCATTAGCAAGAACAAAGTGCAAAATCTTTAAAATACTGGTGCCAACTTGCTGAGCAACAGGAAAGTCCATTACCGCTGTAAGTCAGTGGTTCCTCCTCTGGACAATGGCGACAACAGACAGCAACTATGGAGTACCATGGATATCTTGAAAAGCCCCACAGTGAGGCTTCTAGGTGGGGACATGGTTGCGGCAAAAGGCAGAAGCAGCGGTCAATATCCAAGGACATAACTTTATTGGAAACGAGGAGTGTAGGAGAGGGCTAGGAATCAGGCTCTGTGGCAGGTGGTAGCTTCTCGTCATCAGGGGGACAATCGATGAAGTCAGCCAGCATGGCAGCTGTGTCATCCTGCTCCTTTTAGGGACAAAGTAAGATTCAAAACAGTCACACACACATACACAGAAGAGTGGGTAAGGCTGAGGACAAACCTCTTCCCCAACACAAGCAACTGCAACCCCTTCTCCCTGCCTGGCCCTCCCTGTGAGAGCTGCCAACCCTGCCTGGCCCACTCACCTTTTCCTGGAGAGCTGTCGCCTCTGTCTCCGTCTGCATTTCTTCTGCTGCAGATGTCTCTGGTGGGGGTGGTACCTTGTCACTCCCCACCTCAGTCCCCTCTTCCAGCAGGGCTGGGGGAGCACAGGGCTCCTCTTCAACAAGCTCCTGAGGCGGCCCTGCTGGGGGGCTCTCTGCTTCCCTCTCCAGTTCCTCTTGGGAGGGAAGCACCTCAGGGGCCAGTGTGGGTGCAGTCTCGGCTCCATGCTCCTCCTCAGCCCCCGGCTCCTCTACTTCTAGCAGCAGCCCGGGTTCTGGTTCAGGCTCAGGCTCTGGTTCCGGCTCTGGGTGCAACTTGGGGGACTCGACAGGGGGTAGAGCTGGAGGCAGGTTAGGGGGTGGAGGTCCCCCTTCCTCTATCTCCCCTCCTGCTGAGCCAAACTCCAACTCTTCTACCTCCTCCAGCTCTTCTTCCTCTTCCTCGTCCTCCTCCTCATCTTCCTCTAGCTCACCTTCCTCTTCCTCATATTCCTCCTCAAACTCTTCTTCCTCTTCTTCTTCTTCTTCAAAATATTCTTCTTCATCCTCTTCTTCTTCCTCAAAATCTTCCTCCTCTTCTTCCTCTTCATCCTCCTCTTCTTCCTCCTCCTCCTCCTCATCACTGCTGTTGATATTAATAACTGTCAGATCTTCTTCCAGGGCTGGGGGTCCTCCCCCACCAGAAGTCCCTTCAGGGACCAACTGAGGTGGTGCGAGTGTCACAGGGGCTGGAACAGGAGGTGGTGGGGGTGGAGGGAGAGGCCCTGGGGCTACAGGAAGCTCTTCAGGCTCCTCTTGGGTTGGTAGAGGAGGGGAGGCTGTTGGTGGCCCAGCAGGGGTAACAGGGGGTGGGGTGGTGTCTGAGGGGGGTGGAGGAGGCAGGGGCAGCAGCCCCTCAGGCACAATCACCACACTGTCATCAGAGTCGCTTTCCAAGGAGATCTCCACATCGGATGCCTCCTCCTTATCATAGTGGACAAATGCTGGCCTGGGAACTCTCCCCCCAAAAGTTTCATCTGGGGGTATAGTAGGTGGAGGAGTGCCACTAGGGGCAAGGACGGGGTCCTCATTTGAGCCTGCCCGGTGGTTCTCAGGACCAGGAAGGAGCCGGGGGGGTAGAGACACCAGGCCTGGGACAGAGAGGCCTAAGTGGTTGGCTGTGGCTGGAGGTCCAGGGCGTGTTGGAGGCATGGGGCCTGCTGAGGGCATGGGGCCTGCTGAGGGCATGGAGCCCACTGAGGGCACAGAGCCCACTGAGGGCACGGGGCCTGCTGAGGGCATGGGGCCTGCTGAGGGCATGGGGCCAGGGGGATGGAAGGGTGGGGCCCTAAATGGAGATGGAGCCTCAGGAGGGGGAACTGGAGCAGGGGTAGGGCAGGTGGGGCCCATGGACTGCAGAGGAGGAACTCGGGGATGGGTCAAAGCTGCACAGGTCACCAGGGCCTCAGAGCAAAAAGAAGAGACCTGAGAAAGGAAGAAAAAGAAGTGTTAGCATTAGGAATACAGGGTTACATGGCACCAGAAAGGAGAGCCCACCAGCATCAGAAACAAGAGAACCAGAAACCAAACAGGTACACTCAGCCCTAGGCAGCAGTTACCTCAAGGCTGTCTTCTCTCTGGCCAAGGGAGAAGGCTTGCAGGGCACAGGCGAGAGGAGGTGGGCAGCGAGGAGAAGGTGCCAGCAGCAGAGCTAGCAGCAAGTGATAGAGTTCACGGCGGCAGCAGGAGCTGGTATATGGGGAGCTGCCTAGGACCTCACCCTGTTGGACACCCATGACCAGGGGTAGGACCAGATCATGAAGTCTCTGAAAAGGACACAAGGTACATGTAGAGACACCACTGAGTCTACCCAACCCTTCTCCAAGGGATTCCTCCCAGGTTGAAATGGACCCCCTAGGGGGGCACGGCCCTCAATATGGATAGGCAGTGGCCCCTCCCCATTCTCCATGGGGACAAGGCTCCACTAACCCTGTGAGTCTCCTCCTTGATGAGAGGCCCGCACATGAGGATGGTCTGGCTGAGGCCTGAGGAAGGAGAATGGTGTGTAAGAGGCAGGCTACTAACAGGACCGAGAGGAAGGGTTTCTGTAGCACACAGCCCAAAGTGAGCGAGCGCCCAGCTCTGGCCCCGCCTAACTCAGGCAAGTCACTTTACTGCTCTAAGTTTGTATTCTCCAAATGTGCATTGATATATTTGGGGAGCATTGGCTCTCCTCTTAACATCAGGTGGAGTGGTAAGCAGTAAAATAAAGGGAACCCAAAGGAAAGTTACTCATTAACTGCACAGTAATCAACTCTATTTCTGCTTCTAGATTAGCAATTTGTTGGAAGCAGGAAACCCCACTGAGCCGCCTGTCTTAGAATGTAAATTCCACAAGGCAGGGATACCTTGCACACAGAGAAGATATACAAACAAGACATGAGACCCTGAGGCAGGGGTGGGAGAGGGCGGAAGTGAAAACAGCCAGAACCATCTATCTAACAGCAGGATCCAAGATTCTGCCTCCAGCCTTGGTAGTTGCAAGGCTGCTTCTGCTCCTTCATTTGGCCTCTCTGCAGGATTTTAGCTGGTTCTGCATTTTATCTACACCCTCCACTTCAATGACTGGTTTTGGAATATCACTCCAAGCCATCCCAGCACCCCAAGGGTGTGGGGTACAGGCCTCACCCACCTCTCAGTGCAGCTGCACACACATCGCTGTTGGCATTGCTATCCCCCTTCCGGTGGCTGGGTGGGGCCATAGCCTCCCCCACATCCAGCTTTAGCTTCTTGGGGGCACTGGGCTTCCCCATCTGTAAACCCCCATCAGGGCTTCCCCTGGGACTGCGCAGCTGGTGGTAGAGGGAAACATAAATCACATTCACAAGAAGGCAGCACAGAGTCAGGAGATGGTGTTTGGTGAAGAGGCTCATTTGGACAAGGGGCATAAGAGGAGAGTCTTGGCAGAGGAGAGGGTAAACAGAAGCCTCACCTTAAGGCTATCAGCTGACGGGGAGATGTCACTGAGTAGGTGGGTGAGCAGGGCCTCTCCTGAGGCTCCTCCCTGAAGCACTCCTGCTGAGGCACCACACACCTGTACCCACAGCTCTAATATAGCATATACCTTAGTCCGCATGGCGCTGTGCAGAGAGCAAAGGACAGCTTGTGGAAGGGGAGTCAACACATCAAATCTTGCCTCTCCTCCGTCGGTACTCCCAGCCCCTGGAGACTCCCAGCCCACCCATCTTCTCTCCTCTTTATTCCCATCCTAATGGTCACCTGTAAGGCTTTTCCTGGCCTGGAGAGAGGGAATCTCTACCAATGCTCCAGGCATTGAGGACCTGAGGAAGCAGGCGGCTGATCAGGGCACCAAAGCGCAAGAGCCGGCCTCTACACCTGGGGGTGAAGATATGACAATGACCCCCATTCTCACCATGTCTCGGTCCCTTCACCACACTCTGCCCAGTCCCACTCACGCGAGGATGAGTGCAGAGAGCAGGTCCAAGGCTTCCAGGTGGATAGAAGGCAGCAGCAGCAACCGCAGGGGACCATCTCCAAGTAAGCTCTGCATAAGAAGTTGGCGAAAGTAAGAAGTGGGGGAATAAAGTGCAATACACAGAATAAAATGGAGACAAAGTAGATGTGACTAAATATATGTACACACACAGGTAAGAAACTTCAACCCCAGCTCTCCCAACAAAACCAAATCCACACCCTGTAAAACAGACCCTAGGAGGAGGATGAGGGGAAGAATGGCTGAACCTCTCAACAACAGCCCTGCTGGCCCCCTAGTTCGCCCTTCCCTAGGGAAGCACTATGTGAGTGAATCCACTCTTGACCCGCATGTGTATTGGGAGAAGCCCCAGGGATAAAAGTAAGGAGCTGTCTAGGACAACTTCAGGGATGACATCATTTTGGGAGCTTCAGATTCCACACTACTTTCCTGGCTGCCCTGGGTCCTGAAGAAGGACTATGAACAGAGGACATACTTACAATATTCTTGGCACTGATGCTCAGGGTCCGGCAGATGACATCCAGGATTTCCTGCACAGGGACGGACACAGGAGCCCCAAACTCAGAGCTAAAGAGAATCAGAGCAGGGAGACCCTCAGCATAGGTTCCCCAGTGTGACTCCGCACCCACTCTCAATCTCCTACCTTGTAATAAAGGTAACACCCCCATCTCAACCCCTCCTGCCTCCTGCTCCAGACCCATGCTCCCTCCAACACTCACTCACACACCTAAGCATGAGCCCCAGGCAGCGGGCCAGTCCAGAAAACCTCTGCCAAAGCCGGAGGAGGATATGGGCATCACCATCTTCTGAGGGGGAAAGCAGCATCTCCACTCCAGGGCCTTCATACTGCATGGGAGCTAGACAGAAACAACCACCTTCACATTCTAGGGCTTTCTTCTATTCCCTCCTTTTTCATTTGTGGTGGATGATCCACCTATATTCTAATCCATTCTGCCTAGAAATTAACTACCCTTCCTCGCTGAGCCACCCTCCTGGTTCTCTCCTGCCACATTCCCCAACCACTCTGCCACTACCAGCCATTGTCCCTACCTGGTTCGGCTCCCTCATACAGGGCCCCCAGCAGGCTGTGCAGTGAGGCCAGCAGGCTGTGTAGCTCCTGCTCCCAGCTCTCAGTGTGCTTCAGGCCCTGGGAAAAGCCAGCCCCTAGAGAGGGCACCTGCGAATAACACTCACAGGCCAACTGCAGAAGAAAGGTCAGAAACCTGGTCAGATGAGAATCAGCCCAGCCAGAATCCCCCAGCCCCACCAAGGCCAAGAAAGATGAAGATCGCAGAGAGCTCTTAGGGAAAACAAAAAGAGACAATGAGGCAGAAAGACACAGATGGAAACACAGTGGCAGAAGTCATGCCTTGTGTACCTTTTGTATGTTAACAGAGAAGGAAGTGGCAACATAGTCCAAAAGCAGTAATTAGAGAAATGCTATGAATGAGAGATAAGAGAAGCTCCAACTCAGATCCCCAGGCTCTCCATCCCCCTCCTTTCCCTTTACCTGCTGGAGCTGAGGGCTCAAGGCATCCACTCGAGATAGGAAAAAAGACGCCAACTTGCCCTGAGTTAGGGGAAAACAGAGGAAAAAGCTAGTGGGTCAGCTCCAAGGGCCAGAGACATGCACCCTGTCCATTCCCAGCAGCAGAATCTAAGCCATGGCCTTTTTCTTCCTTGCACTCTAGAGGACATCACACCTGGGAACAGACATGCTTTCTTGGTAGAAAGATACCCTGAATGTCAGCTCTCATCCTTAGCCTATTTGGTGGGGAAAGGGTCTGGCCCATGCCCCACAGACAATGGGCTCTCGGCTGCCAATTTTTGAAAAATGATAGTCATCTCCCTCAAACCAGAAGGACAAAGAGTACTGAAAAGCAGCAATCCCATGCTCAACTCTCCACCAGTTTAGACAAGACGGGTCCAAGTTGGGAGTTGAAACACTAACCAGAGGTGTGAGGGCAGGCCAAGGTCAAGGCAGAAGGGAAGACCACAGGGCAGAATTAAGGCAGCACATCTCAGGGATATCAGCAAACATTTACTCTGCCAATCACGTGAAGGCACTAGCACAGGAGTATTTAACCTGGGCCACAATTTATTTGGGGGTAGAATCAAAGGGGCCTATGAAATAGATGGGGGGGAAATTATGTTATTTTCACTAACCTATAAGTGAAACATAGTAATTCTTCCAATTAGAAATGTTAACAAAAAGCCACAGTAGTATTAGCAGAACCTCTGACTGTTAGCAGTAGAAGTCATTCATTTTCATTTCACATTATAATAGGTATCTGAAATATCCACATGTATCACTAATCTGAAATTCAGTAGTTGTAAGACCTGCTGCTAGACCTTGTTATTTGATACATTAATGAAGGAGGACATACTACTCTATCACAAGTTTTTAAAATATATACTTCAACTGAATCGGTTTCCCTTATAATTCTACGTATTTCATAAATTTAAAAACACTCTGAGAAGGTGTCCACGGCATAAAAAAGGATAAGAACACTGAAGCAGACCTATAAAAAGGAATGAGATGGGATTTCCACCTTCTGTGGAATGTGAGTTAGTCCAGAAGACAAGCGTGTAGAAAACAACAATCTGGAACCACAATGGCACTGTACCAAGTCGGGGAAAGAGGGAGGGTTAAAAGGGACTGATGCTAGCAGGCAAGATTTGGGAGGGTAGAACTAAGCTGGACTTAGAAGAAAAGGGAGAATCCCCATGAGAACAGAGAAAGAGGAACACTGAGGGAAGCTACAGACCCAGAAGACACCATGGAGAAGCAGGTTGAGGCCTTAAATCCCAGCCTAACGAAGATGGACTTTATCCAGGGGGCAGGGGCATCACATGCACAAAGTAAACTTCCAGAAGACAAATCGGCAGTGGCACCAGGCCTATGGCAGGGGTCTTACAGGAACAAAGCAGGAACAGAAGCCTGTCAGTGTGTGGTTCAGAAACCAATCTTCTAAGGACTCCCTCCCACGTACCCTGTGGCATAATCATTTAGTTGCCCACATTACACTTCAGGATTCTTACTGACCATGAGACAAGTACTGTTACAGCTAATGGCAAGATAGGAGAAGACCAGGAACCATTTCCCTTGGGACTTGGACATCACTTTCATGTCTGATATAGTAGAACTCAGAGCACTTCAACCCCAAAACAGTAACCACCCACAGGTCTCCTCATTCACGAGTTTTTCCAAGAATGAGATTTCTTAGAGAGTTGCCAATGCCCCAACTATAGTGGCACTCAGCACTTTTGGCCAACTAACCGCTCACATTTTTATTGAGACTCTGGCTCCAAAAGCTGGGGTAAGGCCAACAGAAGTTTGCCTGTGTGACTGCAATAAAGCAGAGTATAGGGACATGGCTCTGACTACAGGTCTACCCAGGTGATCCACAAAGCAAACTAAAGCAATGGCTTACTTGGCATTTTATCTGAAGGGCAATCATGTGTGTGCATGCATGCTACTAATCAATTTGGCAAGGAGAAGTAAAGCCTCTAAAGAATGACTTCATGGACTCAGAATGCTTAAGATACATTGTTTGCGAGTAATCCTGAGTTTGGAGATTACAACTGCCCTGGTAGCTTCTGGGGGATGGGACAGAGAACAGATAACACTCCAAAATGGCAATTTTCAGTTTCTTAAGCACTGGTCTGCCAGATTTTCCAAGTACAAATTGCCGCTGGGGCCTTTGCACAAGACAGATTCTTATCTGACGTGTTGGCAAAAGATAAAGCCAAAATCCTCGACGGCTGGACGTTCTCCAGATGACACTACATTCTTAGAGAAATAAAGACATACATACCCTGTTAACATCATATGAAAGTTTTGTTGTTTAGTCTGAAAAGGATGCTCAAAATGCAGGCCATAACTTCAAAAACTACATGTCCAACCAAACGTTGTGAATTATAGATTAATTCTCCTGACCACTACTCACAGTGAACATTTCAGAAGGCAGATTTTACTAAACTTAGTAAAACTTTAGTTAAAAAAAAAAACCTTTTCCAAATTTTAGTAAAATCCATGTTACTCCAAATACCTTCTTGACAAAAGTCTTGCCCTGCCTACCCAAAGATTCTATGACCTACAGTTCATTAGTGGCATTCATATAAAAACAAAGAATCAACAATGACATGACCCCATGTTCAATGAGAAACATCATCTGCTCAGGGACTTTTCAGATAGTGCAAGTAACCAGTTACTAAAGCCACTGCAGACAGCATCCCCAGATCACAGCATATGTGCCCACGGAGCTCTGCATCTGGCTCACAATCATTCTCAAGCCACTAATAATTAATCAGAGCTGGTGTTTGTGTTAAAAGCTATCTGCCAGTCCTGCCTATGTTCTTAAAAGCTTCCAGGGAGTTTGGTTAAGTGGAAAAAACATGAGCTTTAAGGGCAAACAGATCTGAGTGACACCCTGGTTTTATAGCTACCAGATACACAACCTTGGGTAAATTAGTTAAACCCCTCTGGGCCTGTTTCTTCTGTTTAGTTCGGTGATACCAACTCCACATAATTACTGTAACGATAAAATGAAAGGACACATCTCAGACACTCAGAAGAGTACCTGGCACGTTGTGGGTACCTACTTACTAAGTTCCCTTTTCCTTTCTTTTACTTTCTTGAGTTAGTCATAGAACCATGAAATCTTACTTTCGAGATAATTTGAATGATAAACTCTTTAACTGATAACACTGATGGATGATATAGTTAATCACATCAGTTATACAAATAATTATTAATTTGCTGCTAATTCCAGTTTTCTACATAGATTTGTGCTTCCATCTGAGTAAGGGGACGCCCAATGGTTTGTCAAGCAATGATGAGTATAACAAAACAAGAGAACATTTTATTTAATCTACAGGAGAACACACCATTTGTTCTTAGGTACTAGCTGGCACCCAATTATACTGCAAACAATAGACGTGCCAATTATAAAGGCCCTTTAATTGTTACTGCTTTGGCAGAATTTATTCATATCTGTTATTATATCTCCTTGAAAATAAAACTAATCCTTTCACTGACCTCCTCCCTCACCTGACCCACAGACACCCTACCTGTCTGACCTAATAAGGCTCTGCTGTACAGACCCCTTGTAGCCGTCATGTCAGCTTGGGGAAAAGGGTGAGGAAGTGACAGAGGGAGTTTCGTCAGGAAAGAGACATGTTGGTGAAGTTGTTACAAAGAATAAATCAGGAAGGCTTCCTGCAGGAATCACAAGAGCTTTAGGATTAAAGTATGATAGGGTGGTAGAAAAACAGGCAGGGCACTCTAGAGGTACAGAGAAGGCAGGGCAAAAAGAGGAAAAAGTCCATGGTTAAGAGCTCGGGCTTTGGCATCAGATATAAGTTCCCATCTCTATTGATCTTAGGTGAGTTACTTAATTGCAATTTCTTCATCTGTGAGGATTAAAATGAGATAATGCATGTAAAGTGCTACAAGGTGGGATAAGTATAGCTGTGGAGACTGGTAACAGAACAGACAGCAGGTGCTTGGAAACCTCGGCAATGGAATCTGAATTAAGACAGCTAAAACGCTTTAGTCGGTAGCAAGAGGAATTTCCACGAATACTTACTTTGAGAGACCCACAAGCCCGAGGAAAATAGGTCATACATGCCTTCATCCCCTCCAGTGCTGAGAGCTCACACTGTGGAAAAAAAAACAGAAAGAAAGGTGAGAGCCCAATATCCCTATAGATACCATCTCCACCCTACTACCCCTCAAGGTCCCTTCTCTATACATTTTTTTCTTTGGCCTTGCCCTCTTCTCACTTCTTTGAACCTATTCCCCAATCACTGCCCATCACATTTTCTAACCCAAGTAGTCTGAGCGAGGCGGGCACTGAGAGGAGTCAAAGACAGGGGGACTGGGGAGGGGTCTCACCTCTGGTCTGAGGCCCAGCAGGGAGGTAAGAAGGCCAGGCAGGTGGTTCATGGAGATGTCCCGGAAGAGGGTAGGAAGTTGGGCTGCATATCGGAGCAGGTCCCTCAGAACAGCCACGGCCAACTCCATTGTGGGGGGTGGGTCCTGAGACTAAAGAGCAACAACACCCCATGCTTCTAACCTCACCTTCATGGTCACCAAGAGGAGGAGGAACAAAAGGTATGACAACATGGGCTTTTGAGAAACACCACAGTTAATATCAATATTACCATCAGATCCACTAGGAATAGAGTGCGTTAGAGATATGGAGTATCCAAAAGTAACATATTTGTCTACAGAAAGGACATGTGTTTACATTTTAGTATTAGGGGTATTTGGGGTCCTAGGAATTTGTTTGGGGGGGTAGAAAAAATAACAAAGCCACACCTTAAAGATCTAACTGGAAGATCTCAAGAGCTTGAGTTTCCCATAAACATATTTCCCAAGAATGGAATGGAGAAGAGCTCACTCAGAATGGAAAAAAAAGTCTCAGCCACAACAAAATTACCCCATCTCTTCAAGCTAGCTCAAACCTACCCTGGAACTCACAAAGAAAAAATGGTTTGGGTTTAGGACTTGCCTAGAAAATTAACACGTATCTAAGGAAAAAGCATTCAGCACATATCTCCTGCTAGATCAGAGGAGGCCATGTGTCAGAGAGACAAATAATGCGTATTAAGAAAGTAAGAATACGTAAGCATACCAACTACAAATGGGCCTTCAACACTCTCCAATAATCTTACTGCATTTATCTTAGGTTAATTCTCTCTGCCACTCAAACCTTCTCCCAACACGGTCACCTCTGTATAACCAGATCTGCAACTTCACAGAGGAAACTGAAGCCCAAGGATGAGCACTCCCTCAGCTTCCCACTACCAAACCTGAAAATTCAATCTTCATCTTCACCTACCTTCTCTTTCCTTCCTCTTGTCACACTCAAGGAGGTAGGTCCCATTCTATCCAAGACAATCCCTCCACTGTGCATTAGAGACTATCCCCTTCCCTCTCATAACCCTACACTATTAATTAGCTCCCTTTCTCCTGTATTTCTAGCCAATCTCTCTTAAATGGACTCTTCCCACTGACATTTATACATGCTCATCTTTCTCATCTTAAAAATCTTCTTTTAAGCCCATCCTCTACTCATCCTGTTATTTCTCTCCCTTACTAGTAGAGCCAAACATTTTGAAAGGATTGCCTTTCTTCCCTATTTCCATTCCTTCTCCTACTCACTTCTCATTCCAGGCTATCTGGCTTCTGTGTAGACTCCTCCACTTTGATTACGGTCTTAACCCTTGAGTTACTAAATCTGATAAACAATTTTCAGTCCTTGTCTTGTTCCACCTTAGGGGAGCATAAACAAAAAGGAGTCCTCCCTCTTCCCATGGATTCCATCCAACCTACAATCCTGGTTGTCTCCTTTCTGCTGCTCTGTTTCATTTTCCTTTGTAAGCGCATCATCTTCTACCTGATCATTAAATGTGGAGTGCCTTAAAATCCACTCCACATAAGTACTCGTTTTGATCATCTCATCCTCATCCTCATCTCCAACTGCCATGTAAATGCTGGAGATTCTTCCCCTTTGTAAAACATAATGACTGAAGTGCCCCCATGAACCCTCGAGGTTACACTCAAGACACCTGGCCATGTCCACTCACACCAGACCAGGCGTATGCTTACAAAGAAGACTTCTACTGAATTCCCAAGGCCAAACTTATGAGATTTTCACACCTTACCCTGAACCTTGACTGTCTTCGATGTTCTGAACTCCAGAAGTCTACCTAGATACATCTTCTCCCTGACCATACTCCATTATCAAGACCTGTCCACTTTGCCTCTAGATCATTCTCGAACTCATTTCTACTACTACTACCCTAGTCCAAGCTACTCTGGATGTTCTCCTAGGTTACTTTAGTAGCCTTCTATGCGATGTTTCTGCTTCCATTCTGGCTCCTTTCTAATCCCTTCTCCATAGAGCAGCCAAAGTGATATTTTCAAATGAAAATTTGATCATGCCCCACCTCTTCCTCAGCCCTACTTAAAACCTTCCATGATCTCCCACTATTCCAAGAATAAAAACCAAACTCCTTAACATGCCTACGCCACAAATGATTCCCATCTATCCACCTCCCAAGTCATATGTCATCAGCCCTAGCCACATCAGTTTGCTTACAGTTCTTCAAATGGACCAAACTCCTCTTCTCTCTGAGCTTTCACATACTTAGAACACATTCTTAGCCCAATTTAATCCTCATCAGTTCAGAAAAGCCCTCTCTGAACCACTGACCCCAATCACAACAACCCACACCACCCCAGTCTGGGTCAGATTCTCTTGTTACATGTTCTCAAAAAACTATAGTCTTTACCTCCATAGTACCTACCTCAGTTTATCATTGCACACTCATCAGTATAATTATTCAATTAAAGTCTCTTCCACTAGAACAAAGAGCAGCAAACTATGGTTTGTGGGTGCCTGTTTTTCATGGCCTATACGCTAAAAATGTAGCTTGTAGACCATGTAAGAACACATTTTTGAAGGGTTAGAAAACTAACAAAGGAAGAAACAACAGGCAACAGAAACCATATATGGTTCACAAAACCATAAACATTTACTATCTATAAACATTTATTTCACAGAAAGTTTCCCAAACCCTGCGCTACACTCTAAGCACCCTGAAAGCAAGGTCCAAGTCCATTTTACCACTGCCTCCCCAGAGCTTAGCACACAGCCTGCCACATGTCCTCAGAATATGCTTCAAGAACTAAATGAAGATGTTATCAAAGAATGTAAAAGTAGAAAAAAAAAAAAAATATTAAAAGAAAGGTATAGGCAAAAAAAAAATCAAACACTTGGAAAAAGGAATTTTAGAGATGTCACTAATTAGAAAAGCTAATGAAAAATAAAACAGTCAGAAGTTACAATGTGTGAAAGGTAACATGAGTTAAAATAACCCAGTAGATAAAACATCAAAAAGTTAAAAAGGATTTGTATTTGAAGCTATCCTCTCTATCAGGAAACTGCTTCTAATTACGTTGTCCTCTGAACTAATGTCCAAGCAGCAAAGAATATACCACATGCAGAATGGAGAATAAGGGATGGTTGGGGGGTTGGGTCGGGGCAGCAGCTGAATCCTTACCTGCAAGACCTGCTGAATGCTCCGAAGCCAAGAGACACAGTGCTGCTGGAACATCTCCGTGGAGCTCTCCCCTACCAGCAGGGACAGCAGACAGAGGCCCTCAAACCTTATAAGAAGTGAATGATAACAAGTGGGTGAGAGACTTCAGAAAAAACTATTTACCGCTCTTTTACTCTCACTGGACTATAGCAAGACTTCACCTCCAGGTCACTATGGTTTCTAACTTCTGAAATACTTACAAGACTTGGACTGAGATGAAGGTAGCAATAAAAGAAGGAAAGGGGTAATTCTAGGCGGGGCATAGGAAACTTGAGACTGGAATAGGTGGGGTTCAACTCAAGTGAGTTCATGAAAAGAATGACACTCCAACCTCTTAGGAATGGAGAATCTCTGGAATCCATGAGGCTGTGAAAATGGATGGACAGATGTATAGCTCACTTCATCTCCCTGGAGAAAAAATAGGATTAAAGACTTACCGAGTTTTGATCGAACCGAGACGTGCATTACTGAGACCCACCAACGCCCCAACAGCTGAAAGATTCTGGAGGAAAGAAAACAGGGAAGTAAGTCAGGAACAGGAGGCTAAAGATGCAGAATTTCTCCAAGCCTTTGCCTGTCCTGGCATCTATGAAGCTTCTTCTAAAGTCACACCTCCTTTGAGGCCAAAAGACCATTCCTCTATAGAGGCCTTCAGCCTTTGCTCTATTTTCAGTAGGTGGCATACACAGCAGCCTGTCCCACAGCCTTTCCTCAAGTTACATCTTGCCTGACCCCTTCTCTCACTTTCCACCAACAAATTACTGCTATGCAGAGGACAGCCCAACTCATCCCAGCTACCAGACCTCAAAGATGGGTCTGCTTCACCCGTGTATCCCTGAGCAGGACTAGCAAAGAAGAGATATCCATAAATCCTTACTGAATGGACAATGAACTCATCTGTTACCCTTCTTCCTTCACTCTCACACAAATTCCCCTCCGTCCCTGGCTTTCTTAGAGCTGTTAAGAATGGCAACATGGCCCTAGACAATCACGGCCTCTTTCCAACCCTCTCCTCTCATATTCCGAGAACCGCTCCCACAAGTAACCTCTCCATCCCCTAAATCGTCAGACTCCTCTTAGGGCCCCTATGTCACCCTAACAGTACTCAACTCTCATTCTTTCAACAAACACATATTATGCATTGAGTTAAGTGAAGGTATGCAGAGCTAATACGTAAGTAAAATTTAAAATGAGGTCCCTGCTCTCATGAAGGGAAATGTTCATTCATTTAGTCAATATTTATTTAACATTTACTTCATGTGAGATATTGTTTTAGATACAGGGAGCTTCTATTCCATGTTAGAGAAGACAGAAAATAGACATATGACCAAATAATAAACAGTATGTTGGATGGTGCTAAGTGCCATGGGGAAGAATAAAGCAGACTAAGGAAGGGAAAGAATGGCTGAAATAGGGGAGACAGTATTTTATGTACAGTAGGCATAAAAGCCCTCTCTAAAAAGGCAATTTGAGCAAAAGACCTAAAAGAAAGTGAGAGCAAGAAACAGACACCCTCATACACTGTTGATAAGAATGTAAAATGATGTAGCCACTTTGGAAAATAGTCTAGCAGTCCTCAAAAGGTTACACATAGAGTTACCCATATGACCCAGCAATTCTACTCTAGGTATATGCCCAAGAGAAATGAAAACATATATTCTCACAAGAACTTGTACATGAACGTTCAAGCATCATTATTCATAATAGCCAGAAAGTGTAAACCCAAATGTCCATCTACTGATGAATGGATAAACAAATGTAGTACATGCATACAGTGGAATTTTATTTGGACATAAAAAGTAATGATGTTCTGAGACATGGGTGAACCTTAAAACATTATGTTAAGTGAAAGAAGCCAGACCCAAAAAGCCATATATTATATGATTCATTTATGTGAACTGGTCAAAGTAGGCAAATCTGCAAAGACAAAAAGTAGATCAGTGGATGCCTAGGTCTGAAGGGCAGAGAGGGGATGGGCGAAATGGGGAATGACTATCAATAGGTAAGTTTCCTTTTGGAGTGATGAAAATGTTCCAAAACTGATAGTGATGATGGTTGCATAACTCCACTAAAATACTAAAAACCACTGAACTGTACACTTTAAATGGATGAATTGTATAGTATGTGAATTACATCTTAATAAAGCTGCTTTAAAAAAAAAAGGCATACTGATAACAACAACAAAAAAAAACGTTCCAGGCAGAGGACAGAAAAAGAACAAAGGGGACGTGGTTCCATAGTGTATAGCGGTTAGCACGTCTGCTTTACACGCAGAAGGTCCTGGGTTCGTACCCCAGTGAAGTCACTGTCCATGGTCTATGGCCATGCCACCGTGAACAAGCCCGATGTCTGATCTCAAAAGCTAAGCAGGGTCGGGCCTGGTTAGTACTTGGTTGGGAAACCACCTAGGAAAACCAGGTGCTGCAGGAATAAATAATAAATAATAAAAATAAAAAAGAAATAAAAAAAGAAAAAGAACAAAGGCATATCTGAAGACTGACAGGAAGTGAACTGTCACTGGAGAAATATAAGCAAGAGAAGGAGGAGTAATAAAAAAATAAAGGTTCTGATGGCAGAGACAGACCTTGTAGAGCCATATAAGCAACTGCTAACTTTTACTCTGACTAAAAGTCATGGGGGAATAGGGGAATGAGGCAGAGGTATTGTCTGACTGATTTATTTTTTAAAACACATCAGCGACACTTGAGTTGCCTTGCTGAGAAGGCAGAAACAGATAGAAGCAGGAGGCTATTGTAATATTCCAAGAGAGACATGATGCGGCTTAGAGAGAGTGGGAATTGTGGGGATACAAAGCATCAAATTCTGGATATATTCTGAAGGTAGAGCCAACAGGATTTGACAACGAACTGGATATGGATAGGAGATAAAGGCAGAGATAAATTGAGCAACTAGTCATTTACTAAGAAGAGGAATACTGCAAGAGGAGCAGTTTTGTGGGGTTAGAATCAAGAGTTCAGTTTCAGATGTTAAAATCAGGGATGTCTATTTAACATCAAAATGAAGATGCCCAAGAGACGTTGGGTAGATGAGTCTGGTGATAGGATAAATCTTGGTTAGAGTATGAATTTGGGAGTTGTCAATCACAAAGCTGGGTCAGCTCACCAAAGGAGTGAAAAAAGCAGTACAAGGACTGGGTTCTTGGGCACTCAAACATTTAGAGGTCAGAGAAGTGAGGAAGAACCACTAAAGATGACTAGCAACGAGTGACTAGTATGGTAAGAAAAAAATCAAGAGAGTGATATCCCAGAAGCCAAGTAAAGAAAATTTTACAAGAAGGAAGGAGTTACCAACTCTATCAAATGCTACAAATAGGTCAAGTAATATGAGGACCCAAATTTGACCTTTGCACTAAATATCTTGATGGTCACTGGTGATCTTCAAGAATTACCATATGACTCAACAATGGGGTGTTTCAGTGAAATAGTTAAGTTGAAAGCCTAAATGGAATGAGTTCTATAGGACAACATTATAGCAATAATTCATTCAGAGAAGAATCTTTAATGGATGCTCAAACAAGTGGGTAAAAGGTTGACAAGACACAAGGCATTTTATGTATCTCCTCACAGGTCATGTATTAATTACAAAAAGAAAAACTGTAACTTTGCAGTGAAGAAACCTTGCAGATATCAACTTCAGCCAGTGATCAAAGTTAACACTGCCAGTAATGAATGGGACAAAGAAATATTAGGTGCCTCCTGATATGATGTACCAAGAATGTCATGTCGTTTCTGTAGTGTTACTGCCAAAAATGAACAACCTGAATTGAATCAACAGGAAACAGCAGACAAACCAAACTGAGGGATATCCTATAAAATAACTATTCTGTAACCTTGAAAAATGTCAAGATCGTTAAGACAAAGACTGAGGAACTACTTCAGAGTAAAGAAGACTAAAGAGACAGGACAAATAAATGCAATGATCCTACACTGACTCGTGGACTAGAAACTTTTCTTTTGCTATAAAAGGCATGTTTAGCACAATTTACAAAACTTAAATGATTCATAGATTAAATAATGTATTATATCAATGTTAATTTCCTGATTTTGATAGAATGTGGTTATGTAAAGGAATGTCCTGTTTTTAAGGAAATACTGAAGTATTTAGAGGCAAAAGGTGTTATATCTGCAAGTTACTACTACATGGACCCAGAAAAAATATAGAGAATGATAAAACAAACATGCACTTAAAGTGTTAACATTTGGGGAATGTGAATGAAGGGTATACAGAAATTCTTTGAACTATTCTTTCAAATTTTCTATAAATTTTAAATTATTTAAAAGTAATGTTATTTTTTTTTTAAATGGGAGAAGAATCAAAGAATCAAAGACATCAAGTACAAACAAGAATCAAAAACAACAAGTTCTGCCATAAAGAGAAGTAGAGAAAAGAGGCAGGGGCTGGAGGGGATTTTTTTAAAGCAGCTTTGAGCTGTGTGCTGATAAAAATGACCCAAGAGAGGGAAAATCTGATGATGGAGAAGTGGGGGAGAACTGCTGAAGCAATGTACTTGTGTTAAGTAGAGAGGGGACAGATCTGGTGCACAAGGAAAGAGTTGGCCTTAAATAAGAGCATGGACCAGTTTATCCCTAGTAGTGGGAGGGAAGGCAGAGCATATGGGCATAGATGCAGTAAAGCTAGAAGATAAGGTGGTGGGAGCCTATGAGAATTCTCATCTTACTGTTTATACTTTCTCGGTGAAATAGGAAGTGAGGTCATTAGCTAAGAGCAAGAATGGAGAGAAGTAATCAGAAGTTGTCTAGGAAAGTGGAAATGTAACAGGATTGCTAGGCAACACTAAGGGTCCACTTGAGATGATGATAGCCATGAATTTAAAATGAGATGCCATGAATTTAAAGTGAGATCAGTCAGGAAGTACACGTTTTTCTCCAGCTATACTGAGCTGTGCAGGTACAGGCAAGAACATACAGTTCGATTTAATACAAACAGGGTATTGCCAGGCAAGCTCAATGAAGGGAGAGGAACAAGGAACTGATTATAATGGAATTTAAACTGAACAAGAGAGAACATTACAGATAATGAGTTAATTTCTTTTGAGTAGTGATAAATGCTAGGGAAGAAACAAAACAGAATAATATGAAAGAATGATTAGAATGGGAAATACCACTTTATTTTAAGGGGTGGTCAGGAAAGACTCCTCTGAAATAGTGACAGGTAAGTTGAGACCTAAATGAGCTCACCTTCCCATGACTTTCCCAGCAAAGAACTGATGAGCAATGGCCTCAGCATGGTCCAGAAGAGATTAGCTTGGGTGGCTGGAGTACAGTTAAGACAGGCAGGATGTCACATGAGATGAGGTCAAGAGGTAAACAGAGACCACATCATGTAGAGCCTCATGCAGTGATAAGTTACTGTATGGGTTTAAGCAAGAGAATGCTATAATCTCACTGATATTTTTTAAAAGATCACTGGGTACTGGCTGGGGAATGGGACACTATAAAGCGCTGGAGATACAAGGCAGAAGAAAACACTCTGTCCCTCAAAGCACATGCAGTTATAGGAGAAATGAGATCTGGGATTTTGCTTTAAAATGCTACGGTGGGAGCGGGGAGGCAGAGTTGGGACGGTAGGAATGAAACAAGACTAGTAAAATGTTGTTAAAATTGAGTGAGGGGAACAACATAGGGTGGGGTGGTTCAAAATACTATTTTCTCTGCTATGTATAATCTGAAGTTTCCTAAGTTTTTTTTTTTTTAGTTACACACACACAATAAAACAAATCAAAGCCAAATTACGTGGGTGTGGAGGGAGGCTGTATGTATAAACGAATAAATTGACAATTTCAATATGGTGTAGCAAAGAGCAGCTAGCTAACCATAGCTGGTTTAGACAGGTTTCCCAAAGGCAGCGACAAATAAACAGAGAATTGAAAAGATTTTTGGAGGCAGGCAGCACAGGGAGCAATTTCAAGTAGAGAACAGTAAAAGCAAAAGCCCAGAGGCAAGAAAACCCAAATACTGAAGGATAAAAAGAGATACTGCCGGAGAAAAAAGAAGCTAAATACCAAAGATCTAGTGAGTGACAGGACCTGGAATCGAATCTATTCATGTGTGACTACAGATCGCATAGCAATAAAGAAATGAGGCTCATCCTCTCCTCTGAGTTTCTACTTGTGTGGCCGATAAAGGAAAAATGCGTGCATCTCGTCAGACTAATACCCGGATACCCTGTCTCCAGCTCGCCTTCCCTCCACCTCTCTACTGCTGCTGCAGTTCACCGTGAATCTGGAGCACAGGTGCTACGCCAACCTTTCATCAAGAGCCGCGGGCACGCGGGCCACAGACTCACCTGGGCCCCGCCCACCGTCCCATGCAGCCGCAACAGGCACATGAGCCCGGGCAAATGTGGGGCCGAACGGACTGGGGGATGCACGGGAGCAATGGCGGACCCCGCTCGCGGCTGCAGCAACCCGGACACGCTCTCCAGCAGCAGCAGGCGGAGACGCGGGACCGAGCCCACCGCCGAAAGACCCCCGGTCCCGCCGGGAACCCCAGCCGCGGAGCCTGCAGAGGGCCCGCTAAGAACGGCTGCCGCCATCTTCACTGGGGCTCTAGTGGTGGCGTGGCGTGATGACGCAAACATACCGCGACTGTCGCCTCATGGGGTGGGGGCGTTAGGAAGGGGCCGTGAACCTGCGCGTTGAGCGAACGAGTTAGACTCCAGCATCTACCTAGAAAAGAGCATGCGCGGGTTAGAGGGCTGGGGTGAGGATGTGCGGTGCTTAGTTCCCGAGGCGTGAAGGGCTGAACAGTGGGCCGGGCCAGGGGCGGGCCAATAGCGCTTATAGAAAACGTGGTCAGGACAAAAGGCGCCGAAGTCCGAAAGCTATCAGTTAAAGTAACGGAGTCTCCGGGTACTTTTCGCTCTATGTAGCACTGATATCTAAAGAACTGGCCCTTTAACGAAATCATAGTTTAACTACATTTACAACTACAGAAATGTTACAACACACGTGCCTTGCAAATTTAAAAAAATAAATAAACCTAGTATTGGGATGAAGTATTCTACACTGTTGGCAGGGAAGTAAATGGATGCAGCTTTTCTAGAAGGCATTTTGCCAGTTCCTGTCAAAATTAAAAACAGGCATTTTCATCCGACTAATTCATCTATTAACAAATATTTATTGAGCATTTTTTGTGTCAGGCATCCTTCTAAGTGATGAGAATGGTGAAGAAGACAAGACTCTACTCATGTGATTTGTATTTTAGACAAGAGATACTCAATAAAAAAATAAGTAAATTTTGGATACTGCTATGAGTCATAAAAAAAATTAAGCCGGGTAATGTGACAAAGTGATGTGGATTGGACTGGGGACTTCTTAAAAAGAAGTTCTCTCTGAGGGTGGCAAGATGGTATCAGTCATATGGAGTCAAAGGAAAGTTTGTCCAGACAGAAGTAGCAGCATGTGCAAAGGCTGTGAGGTGGGATTGGGCTTGCTGGAGAATAGCAAGAAGGCTAGTTTAGCTCAAGAATAAAGAGGAGAATGATACATATAATGTGTGTTGAGGTCAGAGAGATGGTTATGGATCAGTCATGTAGATTATAGCAGGCCAAGGTGAAAATATGAGATTTCATTCACATATTTGGAAGGCACTGAAAGGCTTTAAGCAGAGAATGACAAGAACTGATATATTTGAAAAGACCACTCTGGTTGCTGCGTGGAGAAGGGACTAGAAAGCCAAGAGAGAAGCAAGGAGAGCAATGAAGAGGCCATTGTAAGAGGCTATAATAATAGACCAGGTGTTAGAGAATGGTGATTAAGACAAGAGTAGCTGAATTACTGTATTTTCGAGTCAGAATGCCAAGACTTGAAGAAGGATTAAAAAGAGGGCAGTACAAGAGGAAAAAAGATGACCCTTGGATTTAACTCTTGGATTTGAATTTTATTAGATTCAAATTATTATATTATCTTTGTGCACACGAAAGTCCCACTGTTATTTTGATATGGTGTTAAATTTATAGACAATTTTCAGAGAAATTACATCTTTATAATGATGCTTTTTCTCACTTAGAATATGGTATGTCTCTTTCATTCTTTCTAGCCTTAATATTTTTCTAAAGTTGTCTTTCTATTAATATCCTTTAAAGACAGTCATTTTCATTCCATGCAGACCACTTACCTTTCAGTTCCGAAATTACTTTAGATATATAACAATACAGATCTCATCACCTTCTGGTCATGACCTTTTGACAAAAGTGATTCATGAGTTTAAAAGAAATGCTTAAATCTTAAAGGGATGAAGAATGAGCTTAAAAGGTGTTGATTGAACTGAGGAGTGGGGAGTGGCAGCTGGTGGGCAAGGCCTGTGTTTGAACCTTAAAGATGATCTCAGAAACTGTCTTGCATGCCTATAGCTTTTTGTTGCATAAAAAGTGGAGGGGAGAGTGTGAAGTTAGTTCATTTGGGGAAAGCAGGGGGAATATGGAAAAAGATGGAAGAGGAAAAAATACTTTAGTTGTTTAAATCTGAAATGTCATCCATTATCCTTCCTAAGTCTAGTCAATTTTGCCCTAGAAATGACTCTTCAGCCTGGCCCCTCTTCTTCCTTCCACTCTATGGTTCATCTCCCCTTAACTAGTTTTAGTCTACAACAGCCTTGCTCCACTCCCTCCACCCTCTGCATAGACCAGAATTATCTTCCTAAAGAGAAACCTCATCATGCCACTCTTTTACTTAAAAAAAAACACTACTGGATCCATATGCCCTCCTCCAGGGAAAGATCTTAATTTCATTCCTTCACATGCTATACAAAATCCTTCACATTGTTCTAATATTTCTCCACAGCCTTATCTCTCTCATTGTCTAATCCCACAAACACTTCAAAACACATGTACGTCGACTTTCTCACTCTTTGAAATACCCTTTCCATCTTCTGTCCACCATTCAGAAAGATTGTCCTCAAATGTCCCCTCCTCTGAACAGCCTGCATTCCCCCCACCCCCACTCCAGCCAAATGCTGATAGTTGCTTTGTCTTCTGAGTCGTACCATCATTATAGCATTCCTGGGATCATAATACTTCAACTCTACTAGGAAGGCAGAATGGGGCTATGTTAATTCATGTGTGTTCCCATCGCCTACCACAGTGACAAGCACAAAATAGGGACGGATGGACAGATGGATGGATGGAAGCTGCAATGAGTTGGATGGAGGCGAGTAGTCAGAGAAATTACGAAAAGTAACCCTGCAAAGATCAAAGACAGACACCAGGGGGAGCTGACACACCACAATAAAGCGGGAGGATGGGCCAAAGGCGGCAGCAAGCACCAAAAGCAAGCATCATGCAACTGGAACCGCTCATCCAATCACCCACGTGCGCATCCCCTCACCTTCCTTTCCAGACCATGCTAGAGCTCATTCCACCATCCCCACCACCTCCACCACCTCCATCGCCTCCGCCCCTGCTGAGAAAACAAACAAAAGGGAGGAGACCCTGAATGTAGGGAGCCAATCAGAGGGCTCCAATCTCCAGAAAGGCGGCCGCCTTCGTTTAAGGATGCCCAATCAGTTCCTAGAGTTGAAGAGAGGCAGAGAAATGGGCGGGAAGAGCAGGGAGTTGGGACTGCGCGCGCCGGGGAAGGATCTCCCCTGAGGGGTGGGGCTGGAGCGCGGAGGGGAGGAGGCGGAGCCAATCACCAAGCGTGTTTGTGAAGAGTGGGCGGGCAGCGCGGCGGCGCGCGGGATCTGGGCTGACGCATCTGGCCCTGGTTCCCGAAGATCCGAGGTGGGGGGGCCGGAGGGGAGGGGGAAGAGGAGAAAGAGAGGAGGGTGCGCGTGCGCAGTGGCGCGGGGAGGAGCAGGGACCTGGCAGCGGGCTAAGAGGCTGCGAGCGAGCCGCGAACCCGGCGGGCGGCGGGCGGCTGGCGCGCGCACCATGGGGGAGAAACCCGGGACCAGGTAAGGGAGGTGGGGCCACGCGGCGAGACGTGGGCGGCTGCTCCCGGCGGGTACCAGCGCGGTCTGCAGACAAGGACAACGGGGAGAGAAAATCCAGAGCCGGACGCCTGGGTCCCTAGGGGGCAGCCATCTGGGGCCGCATGCCTAGGTCCTCGAGGATAATGAGGGGGACGCATGCCAGGGCCCCTGCAGAAAGCGAATGTTGATGGGGATCGGGGAACCAGCGTCTGGGTTCTCGCAGGGATGTGGGGGCCGGACCACTGGGTTCTCCGGTGCAGGCTGCGATGCAGGGGCGGAGGAAGGAGCAGGTGGCCGGCCCCTAGAGGTCGGGTATGGGCAGGGTGGATGCTGAGAGGGGGATTCCCGCCCCCCACCCAACTCGTGCCTAGCCACTGTAAAGCCTTTTGTCCAATACCCCACAGGCAGTGGGGCTGCCCCAACCTGTCCTGAAGGCCTGGTACGCCGCTTCCAAACTTCTTCCTTCCCCGGGGGTTGCTAGGAGCAACCGCCTCATCTTGGGGGAGCAGAGTGCGTAGGGACCCTCCCCGAGCTTGGGCCTTACCGCTGTTCCCCGGGGGTGAGGGGAGGCAGTATCTGCTCTGGGCACGCTATCCACTCCCCGGATGTTTTCTGTGCAATCGAGGCTCCTTCCTTCCACTGACACCCGAGTTCTCTTTTTTGATCTCTAGCAAAATCCACTTCCTGTTGTGACCCAACACCCCCAAGTGAGCATTGGGTGAATGCCTGAGTCCCTGGGGAGCTGGAGCAAGAGGAAAAGAATGGGGATGTTTGCCTCTATCTACAGGGGATCAGGAATGGGGGCCTGGTCCTGAGCTGTCACTTGTCCTGCAAAATAGTCTCATATCAGCCTCACCACTCCCCACCCGTAGAGTAGGAGAACATAAGCTTCTGAGGACCAAGTCAGCCAGTATTGGAGAGATGATCAGTGGAACGATTGGTGTCCTGGATTAGGGGTTAAACACCCCAGAGAAAGGGGAAGTCACTGACTTGAGGGAGGCCCCTGATTTCCGTTATGTGGTTCAGGGAGGAGGAAGGATGGACCAAAGGGGGACTGCTGACTTGGCACAATTCCCGCCACCCTCATCAAATTCTGGGCCACAGGAAATGGAAAGAATAGCAGGAAGTGTGAGGAGGCATCTCCTTCTGTGCCCCCCTCTCACTAGGCACCTCCCTGGTCACCCCACACTCCACCTCCTTGGCCAGCCTCAGGATACACAGGCTACTCCTTCCTAGCCTGGCAGGTTAGCTAGGTTAGAATCCAGAGGGCAAGTTCCCTGCAGCTGCTCCAGGGCAATCAACCAAAGCCACACTCCAGTTGGCCAACTGATTATGGCTGTTGCAGCCCTCTGCCAGGATTCCTAATAGAAAGAAACACTGAGACAAAGAGGAAAACCAGAGCAAAGAGGAAGGAGAGCTAGATGATGACATAGCAGTCAGCCACCAAGTTGGGACAAGAGTTGGAGTGCTTATTCTAGCTGCCACCATGTCAATGTTTACGCTCCTTTATTGGATGGGGATTCCTGGTGACCTCCATACCCTTTGCCTTGTGGCCTTTGGATAGCTTGGCCTTCTGGAAAAGAAGAGGAAAATGAAGTTGTTATAGCAAAAACAGGTGGTGTGGTTGGAGGAGGCATGGGCCATTTAGTAGAATTTCAGATTCTATCTGGGAACCCTTCCCAGGCATCATTGCTGAAGCAGAGTGGATTGGGAGTGGATTGTAAGGACAGCAAAGATCAAGCCCACAAGTGGCCAGAGCATTGGAGTTGCCAGACACTTCTCTATCCTTCTAGCAATGGCTCTAGTCCAGGCTTAGATTGTTTCAGCAACTATGAAATGACTCCCCTTTAATTCAACAAACTTGATGTCAGTTACAGAGGCAGGATAGTATAATAGTTCAGTGACTAAGAGCATGGACTCAGAACCAGAGTGCCTGTTTATCCACCATTTACACTGTGACCTTAGGTAAAATACTTGATCTTCCATGTGCCTCAGTTTCCTCACCTATAAAATAGGAATATTAAGACCCCCATCAAGGGTTCTTAAGAGTATTAAATGAGTTAACACATGAAACACTTTTAACAGTGCTGGGTGTGGAGTATTCACCCAGTAAATGTTAGCATCATCATCGTTGTCACATGGCTGGCATTGTGCTGGGGATGCCTAAATGAATAAGGCTTCTGATGCTCACAATCTAGTGCAGCAGACGGTACAGAGCTAACTGCCCTTGCATGATATCACCACAAGTAAAACATAAACAAGGTGTGACAGGAACCCCCCAAAAAAGGAGTGACTGGAGTCTGGGCTCCATCTGCTTTCTAAAGGAGGTGATATCTGAACTGGGTCTTGAAAGACAAACAGGCTTTTAAGCTGCTGAAATCAGAGATGGGGACAGTTGGAGTAGGGTCACACTTAGGTAGTGCCCATAGTAGAAACCATTTTAGAGGCAAAGGCTGAGGTCATTACTCTTCCAAGTACCCCAGCTATCTTTGGAGCTGGAGACCTGAGAAGATGGAAAGCAGGTTACATCTTACACAGACAGTACTGCAACCTGCCCATTCAGGTCCCCCTAAAGGAGGTCCTCTGGGAAGACCCAGGGTGGTTCCTTTGGGAACCAGTGGCCATTGCCATGGGAGGAGTGCAACTAGTGAGGCAGGGCTGCCATGTTGGGAATATTAAGGACTCGTGGTTACCTTTCCTTCTGGGAAAAAGTGGGACGGATAGGGCTGGGCAAAGCCTCAAAGCCTCTAGACAGGAATCCTGGGGTAGCTCTGCCTCTCAGGCTGGGGAGGGACAAGGTCCTGGCACCAGGGTCCCTGCTGAGTCTGAGGGAGGCAGTGGGGTTTCCCTTTCTGTTTTGTTAGGGTCTTCAAGAAGTCGAGCCCTAACTGCAAGGTGAGTCTCCTACAGTGCTTTTCTTCCTGACCCTCCCTGGGCCCTTACAAGGCCCAGCTTGCCCTTAGACGTTCCCCAACCTCTAGCTCCCCACTTCCTGTGACAGCTAAAAGCCAACTTCCTTCCCTCCTGAAGCCCCTTGTGGCAAAGGCTGCTTCGCCTAAGCCAGCCACAAGGGCTGGGTGGGGACAGGCCTGGGGGAAGGGTCAGAAGCCCATGCCTATAGCCCTCTCAGGAACCAACAACTCAGGGTACCTGGGGCTGGGAACAGTTAACAGCCCCACCAGGCTATAGACTTTACCCTAGAGCCCCTTGAAGGCCTGGCCTTCTACAGCCCCTCCCCAACTGGCAGCAACCCACAAACCGACACACACACCCAACTGATGGGCAGAGGTGTGAAAAGATATTAGGGAACAGCTAAAAAACTTCAAGGTTAGATAGTCTGGGAATCCCCGCCACCCTTCCCCTTCCAGCCCTACTGGGAGGAACCCAGGCTGAACAGCCCAGCCTGGGAAGACCAGGGGCAGGGAAACCCTGTGTAAGGCTCTGATGCCCGCCCACCCTCCTACCCGATCTTCCCTGTGACCCTCTCTATCCTCAGCTCACTGTGTACTTGGGCAAGCGGGACTTTGTAGATCACCTGGACAAAGTGGATCCTGTAGGTAAGTATGCCCAGAAAGAGGCATCTCGTCCCCCAATAGGGGAAGAAGTTCCTGGGCCCAGCAACAGAGGACAGGCCCCAATGGGAAATGAGTTCATGTGTCTCTTTCCTAGATGGTGTGGTGCTTGTGGACCCTGACTACTTGAAGGACCGCAAAGGTACTGGCCCTAATTCCAGGGGTCCAAAGGGAGTGAGGAGGTGGGGAAGGGAGATGGGCTGGCATTGACAGGGGCCCCAAAAGGATGGAGGGCTGAGGAAGAAGCCAGGAGTAGGATTCAGGCAACTCTTATGCTGCTGAGGAGCAGCAGCTGCTGTTAGGTACTGGGGGGAGTAGAGAAGAGGGCCTCCTGACCACCCCACCTTGCCCTCCCTTGCCAGTGTTTGTGACCCTCACCTGCGCCTTCCGCTATGGCCGCGAAGACCTGGATGTGCTGGGCTTGTCCTTCCGCAAAGACCTGTTCATCGCCACCTACCAGGCCTTCCCCCCAATGCCCAATCCACCCCGGCCCCCCACCCGCCTGCAGGATCGGCTGCTGAGGAAGCTGGGCCAACATGCCCACCCCTTTTTTTTCACAGTGAGGATGCCTCCCATCTTCTGAAGGGCAAGGGGTCTGGGACTGTGTTTGGGGAGTGAAGTACCTGTTACGGGCAGATCTGGAAGAAACAGTAAAGAAGGACCCTAGACTCACCTCCCTTCAGGGTTACCAACATTCAGGAAGCCCTTACCTTTCTGCTTCCTCCCTTGGGCCCCTTCTTCCTTTCTCATCCCCAGGACTTCTCTAGCCTCTTAAGTTGAGATTGGGAGGAAGATTTGGGGGCTTCTGGGAGAACTAAAGCCTCCCCTTTCCTCTACCACAGATACCCCAGAATCTGCCCTGCTCCGTCACCCTGCAGCCAGGCCCAGAGGACACTGGGAAGGTATAGGAGGAATGGTTCTGAGGGCTCATGGGGCAGAGCAGGGTCCAGCAAGAGTTGGAGGCCCCTAAGATGGGGTGGGCTGTAGAATAAAAGCCAGGATGGGACAAAAGGTAGGGTAATATCCCCAGCGGACATAGGGTGTGTATGGGATAGTCACTGCTCACATGTGACACTACCTCCTGCTCTTAACCTGCATGTACCTGGGTACAGGGGTTCACCTTCTACAGCCAGGACTAAGTCTCTGCCAGGTGCCAGGTCTCAGAGAGGCAGAGGAGGAAGAGCCAGGGCCTATGCTCCTCAGACCAAGACCCATCTTGGCAAGAGTCCCCTGCCCAAGACCAGGGGAGAGGGAAGGAAGGGAGTGGTGATGGTGGCAGTGGCCTTGTGTAAGACATGACCTTTTCTCCCTCTCCCAAGGCCTGCGGGGTAGACTTTGAGATTCGAGCCTTCTGTGCCAAATCACTAGAAGAAAAAAGCCACAAAAGGTAAGGGATGCCATCTCCCCTGTGGTTTACCCATTCCCTCCCTGATCCCAGGAGCCCCAGCCCCTGTGGGAGGTGGGAGTGGGTGTTTTGGTGTCTGAGGACTGACCCCTCCCCCTCCAGGAACTCTGTTCGGCTGGTAATTCGAAAGGTTCAGTTTGCCCCAGAGAAACCCGGCCCCCAGCCTTCAGCTGAAACCACACGCCACTTCCTCATGTCTGACCGGTCCCTGCACCTTGAGGCTTCCCTGGACAAGGAGGTGGGGTGCGAAAGGGTGATGCAGGCGCTACAGTACAAGCCAGATCCTGGGGAGAGGGGTGAAGCCACATGTCAAGATGGTGTTTTCAGGGAGGTTGCCTTAGATGGCTATGGAAAGTTGCTGTGGGCTTGGGTTTAAAGGGAGGAGGCCAAGCAATGTGTCTGTGTGAGGGGCATGCCGATAATGGGACCACTGAAAACAACCAATTAACTTGACCCCTCCTCCCCTCAAAAGTTGTATTACCACGGGGAGCCCCTCAATGTCAATGTCCATGTCACCAACAACTCCACCAAGACCGTCAAGAAGATCAAAGTCTCTGGTAGGAGGTGGGGGTTGGAAGGTGGTTTTGGGGGAGGGAGTTGCTGCCCATGTAGCTTCTGGCATGATCTTGGTCCAAGGACATACCCCAGTGGTGGAGACCTACCAGGGCTCAAAGAATTTAGGCTGTCCCAGAATGAGATACAGGCCAGGTGTTTACTGCTACAGGGAGGGCTGTGGGTCAGGGGGCGGGAGTGGTGTGGGCCTGGGGCCTTTGCCACGTGGTCTGGAGTGGGACGGTAGTCTTAAGCTCCATGCAAAGTTGCTTGACCCAACCCCACAGTGAGACAGTATGCCGACATCTGCCTCTTCAGCACTGCTCAGTACAAGTGTCCCGTGGCTCAGATTGAACAAGAGTGAGTATCAGAAGAGCCCTCGGTCCCATTTTCAGGGGAGAAGAGTAGGCCTGGGAGAATGTGAGGTGAGGGTGGAATACTTCCTGAACTATCTCCATTTTCAAAGGAGCCACATTCCCTCCAGTCGGGTGGCTCTGAGCTGTGAATATTCTCAAGCAGACTGAGCCAAAACCTACTCATTTGTGATCTATGCCCAGAGAGAAGGGGCTAGTGATGGGGGTAGGAGCTGCCCCCTCGCCCAGCCTGGCCCTTCCAAGAGTCTTATTCTCTTGTCCCCATCCTCCAGTGACCAGGTATCTCCCAGTTCCACGTTTTGCAAGGTATACACCGTAACCCCACTGCTCAGCGACAACCGGGAGAAGCGTGGTCTTGCCCTGGATGGAAAGCTCAAGCATGAGGACACCAACCTGGCTTCTAGCACCATGTGAGGGTGGGGCTGGATAAGGGGCAGGGTGGGTGGGTTCTCCTGCAGCCCAGGAAACATTCATTCAGAGCCAGCTGCGTTCCAGGCTCTGTCCTAGGTGCCAGGGCTCTTACCTGAACAGAAGAGACAAAAAGTCTCTTACATTTTAGGCAAGGGAAGACAGAAATCAAATAAAAGGTAAAATATATAGGGTGCTTGTTTAGTGACCAGTGTTGAGAAAAGGCGAGGCAGAGAAGGGAGACAGAAAGTAGAGAGAGGGGTAGAGTTTGTTAACTTTGAATAGGGTGGCAGGGTATAATATAGAGGTGAATTGTGAGTAGGCAATGTAGGCAGTGTAGACATGCAGGAAGAGGGTTGCAGGCAGAGAAAGCTGCAAACACAAAGACCCAGAGGTGGACTAGGCTGGTGTGTGAGGAAGTGTGAGGAGGCCCACAGAACTGCTGCTGGCCTCTGTGGTGCCATTGTGCCTTTGGGCAGGAGCAGCCCAGGAGAAAGGGTTTCACAAAGGGCTGGATTTCACCCCCCCTGACACTTTTGTACAGGGTACACACTGCATGACCCCACATAGCAGACTTGGAGGCCAAGGTGATGAGAATGAACTACAAGGAGAAAAGTAGGAGGTGGAGTCGGAGGGCTAATGGAGAGCAAGATAGTACAGGTCTGTTAGGTCACAAGGACTTCAGCTTTTCCTGTGAGAGGGATGCGAAGCTACAGGAGGGTTCTGCACAGAGGACTGGTGTGGGGTACTTTACTATGACAACAGCACAGCCTATGCTGCTGGAGCCCCTGGGGCTGGTTGTAAGTTTGTTGTCCTACTCAGGGTCCTGATGGGAGCCCCAAGGGTGGGCTATAGGGCACAGGGCAATGAGCACTGGTCCAGCTTCTCTCCTTTGCTACAGTGTGAAAGAGGGTGCCAACAAGGAGGTGCTGGGGATCCTAGTGTCATACAGGGTCAAGGTGAAGCTGGTGGTGTCTCGTGGTGGGTAAGTATGGTGGGGCAGCCTGGGATGGGCCCACAGTGGCTTCCTCCAGCTCTTCATTGTCATCAGCTCTTCATGATGCTTCTTTCCCTCCCCAGGGATGTATCCGTGGAGCTGCCTTTTGTTCTTATGCACCCCAAGCCCCATGACCACATCACCCTCCCTAGACCCCAGTCAGGTGAGCGTACCACCCACCCTAAGCCTCCAAAGGGAGGCCCTGAAGCCAGGCCAGTGGAGAAAAGTTGGTCCTTCTGGCACCCACCCACCCACCCCTTTTTTTTTCTCCTCCCTTCAGCTGCTCCTGAAACAGATGTGCCCGTGGACACCAACCTCATTGAATTTGATACCAAGTAAGAGCCTCATCCCCTTCCTTTCCTACTTTTGACTCTTTGGACAAAGATTCCTATAATGTTCAAATCTACCCTCTATCCCATTTTTTTTTTTCTTTTGGGGAAGGGATTGTTGAAGCACCAAATCGAGATGATAGTCTTGTGAGCTGCCTATTATGCCCCTTCTTTGTCCCTTCCTGAAAAATACCTCCCGTCCCATTGCCACTCTAACACCTTGGTCTCTGGAGGGGAATGGGAGGTCAAGAAGAGAGTCTGAAGCCCTTGCCTCACCCCCTCCTTTCCACCACCCACCAAGCTATGCCACAGATGATGACATTGTGTTTGAGGACTTTGCTCGACTTCGGCTGAAGGGGATAAAGGATGAAGACTACGATGACCAGTTCTGCTAGGAAGGGGGGCTAGAAGAAGGGAGTGGATGGTGCTGGGAGAGGTAGGGGCAGGACCAAGATCCCCGCTGCCATTGGGGATAGGTCCAAGCCTTTTTCCCTTCCCCTCCATCCAGCAGCTTCCTCAACCAACCCCTTCTTTCCCTCCCTCTCCTATTCCCACCAGATACGCACTGGACCCATCTCTTGTTGAACGTGGGCATTAATTTTTTGATTACGGCTGTGCTTCCCCAACCCCCTAATGGGTGGCAAGCTGTGTTCATACCTAAATTTTTTGGAGGGGGGGAAACTGAAAAGAGGAGTGATAGTAGGAAAAGGGGGTAGGAAAAACTCCCACATTCAACCTTATACCAACACCCCCTCCTGTCACTATCTCTACCTCCCATTCCTTCAAGATGAGACCCTTTGGGGTACAAGGCCACTTCTTTGTCTCTGAGCATAAAGAATAAACCTTTTAATAGGCATGGGTGTGTGTGTTTTCTGTATAGCATTTAAGGAGTATACAGTGTGCTCATCTATGAGTCTGTTAGCTTGTAGGTAAGAACCTAATCTCTTCTCTGCACCCACATGACCCCTGGCCCACAGGCTGTCAGTGTTTATTGAATGAGCTATACCTGCGTACCAAAGTGAACAATGAAACTTGATTTGGTCAGACCGAACTCAAGGGTACAGTTTGGTATAGCCACAAAGTAAATTTATCCATTTACAGGGGAAACAATAACCCACATCCCTGAAAGACTAGAAGCTCTTGGGAGCTAGGCAGGGCAGGCCCTTCCCTGTTGCGGCTGACAAACATGACTGCATAGTGACCTGTTGTGACCTAGTGTGTTTGTTTCCACCATTCCTTTTGGTTGCTCAAGCAGTCATTCCTGGGACTCAGTGGGACTACAGTTGCAGGCCTTACCAGGAGCCACACAGCATCTAGGTGGAGCCTGGTATTTACATTCTAACAAAGAAGCCAAGGCTTTAGGCAGCCAGAGAGAGTCAAGCTGCTGTGGGCAAGTCTAAGAAGCTTCATCCAGCTGCTACTCACATTCATCAGAGACTCCTTGAGGCTCGACCAAAGCCCCAGGCTGAGCTGGAGGAAGTTAGTAACATTCTACCGACATTCCTCGCCTTTGCCACCAATTCCCAGTCCTGCAGCCCAGCCTTTCTCTCCTTTTTCTTTTAAGGCTCATTTATTCATTCCATAAATGATCTTTATGTTAAGTCCCAATTATGTGCCAGGTATAGTATAGAGACATAGTCATGATGAAAACAAACATTAAATCATTCCCTAATTAATCACAGTATCTATGATCCAAAGGAGAAGTACAAGAGCTATGAGAACACATGAGACAGGGAGTTCTGACCTAGGCTGGGGTTAAGGGGAGATTTCCCTGGAGGAAGCTGACCTTTGAGCACAGAACTGGAAGATAAGGAGGAGTTCCAGCATTCCAAGCAGTAGCAACACCATGTGTAAAGGCAAGAAGGAACAGGGGCCAGAAGGACTGCGACAAAGAGCCAGAGGCAAAGTAGTTCCAGATGAGGCTGGTAAGGCATATGGGCAGCCCATACAAGCCTATAGTCTATGTTATGGCTCGTGACTTCTAATTAAATCATTATTTATCCATTACTTTTAAGTGCTGCCAAAATGCCAATGACCTTGTTTACCCCTCCACAGAAGCAGCCTATCCTATATATCCTGCCTGGTCTTTATCATGTAGAGAAATAAGCAGCATCCCTCTGACTCCTGTAAACCTGCTTCTTGACCTCTGATCTCTTGGCCCATGGATCTCCAAACTTTTTCAGGTGAATCAGAATCCTCTGGGAGGCAAGATAAAGACAGAGTCCGAGGCTCTACCTTCCCAGATTCTGATTCAATAGTCCTAGGAAGAATCCATGAAATCTGGATTTTGAATTAGTACACACTTTGATAAAACAACACCTTTTCTCTTTTAGCTTTTTTTTTTAATGATTTTAAGAAAGTAAAACATGCACGTGGTATAAAGAAAATTCAGACAGTCAAAAGGAAGCTCCCTCCTGCCTCTGATCCCCAGCCTCTCATTTCTCATTCCCAAGGCAACCTCCATCATCAGTTCCTTGATTATTCTTCCAAAGATATTCTTCAGACTTAGTCATATTCATATGACGATATTTCTTCCTTATTTTAAATACAGATAGTAGCATACTATGAACACTTCTACATCATGCTTTTTGCAGCTGGGAGAGCATTCCTTTAACAATACATAGAGATCTACCTCATTCTTTTAAAGAGCTGCATAGCTCGCCATTGCCTAGATGCCATTTATTTTTACCAGTTTCCTATCAATGGGCAGGAAGGATGTCCACTCTTTCGTTAATTCAAACATTATAATAATTATGCTTAAAGACATGTCCTTTTGCCCATGTAAAGTATGTCTGTAGGGCAAATTCTTAAAAGTCGAATTGGTGGGTCAAAGAACGCCTTTTTGATCACTGCCAATCAAGCAGGTGACGTGGTATCATCCTAGCTTTAATTTGCATTTCTTTGTTTAGGAGTGAGAATGAACAGGATTTATTGCATTCATGTCGTCTTAATGCACTCTAAGGACTCTTTATGTAGTAAAGAAATTAGCCCTTTGTCATATATTTTGCAAACATCTTTCCCAGTTTGTTGTTTTTGAATTTGTTTATAGCTTTTTTTCTTTTCAACGAGGTCAAATTCCTATAACATAAAGTTAACCATTTTGAAGTGTACAATTCAGCAGCATTTGGTACATTTACAATGTTGTGTAACCATCACTTCTAGTTTCAAAGTATTTTACTTATGGTATTTTTAATAATTCATAAGTTTTTTATTTTAATGTAGTCTATTAGAATCATGTTTTTTATGGCTTCTTGATTTGTCACAAAGCTCTTGGCCTTCTGTTTCCTCACAAATTGATGCTTTCTTTTCTTTCCGGACTAAACTTCAAGATTATCATATCAACCACTATCTCATCAGCACCCTCAATTCTCCTTTCACAATACCTGCTCTCAAACCCTACCCTTGGCTCTGTCAGTCACCACCCCACCCTTCTACACTCCAACACTGGGCTGCTGAGCACTGCCAGAGAAAAATCACACAATCATATTTATTCGTTCAATCTTCAAATATTTTTGAACACATTCTAGGTGCCAACACTGTGCTGGGTACGAATTTGGAGCCACTACAAACTTACGGTCTCTAATCTCAGCTAATCTCAGCCCTCATACCTGATAACCCTTTGTCCCTCTCCATGTCCCTGGTCACCTACCTCTCCTGCTCCCATCCTACTCAATAATTTTCCAAACCTTCCTCACGCTCATAGTGACTTCATCTTGTTTTGCACAGAGATTAAGCTATGAGGGATGAATGATTTCAATTTCCCACCTCCTACCGACAAATGCTGACATCTAAAACAGTTCTCCTAGACAACCAAGGTTAAGATGACTTCTCCAGTTCAAAGCTAATCCCTCCACCTGTGCAGATTGCTTCCCTCCTACCTCCTGAGACCGCGATTCACCAAACCACTCCCCTCTCTTTAACCTCTGCTTCTCTCTACTGGTTCTTCCTCCATGGTAAAGAAACCCACATAAGTCTCTTCCGCTAAAGAAAGGAAGGGAGAAAGAAAGAAAGGAAGGAGGGAGAAAGGAAGGAAACCAAAGAAAAAACACTCCTACATGAGTAAGTCTCTTTCAGTAAAATATATCTCTATTTCCTCTCTCTTTTTTTATTGTTTTTATTTTCAAAGTTATATATGCACATAGTTTAAGGAGTCAAATAGGACTACAAGGCCTATTACAATAAAGAATAGACCCTTTCCCTCTCCTATTTCCTTCTCAGAGGCAACGGCTTTCACCTCCTTTAGATGTTTCCTTTGGTATTTTCCTCCATATCTCCAAACAACATGCTTATTTTGCTACTTCTTGATTTTTGCTTTAAGCACCATCCACTGGCTTCCATCTGTGTAAGGTGAAAACTGAGCTTCCTTTCTTCCCTCTGCCCCACCATAGGTCACTTTCCATTCCTCCCCTGCATCTCATACACCCAAAGGAATTATATCAACTGGGTTAGATCAATATTCTGTATTTACATTATGCTTATGCAAACGTTATTCATAGCTAAGTCATGTGATATGGATCTTTTTCTTCTTGCACAACTTTATTTTCCCTGAATAACTGTCATTTAAAAATCTGCTTATTCTCTGAAATTACCACTAATTCTGCCCTATACTCTCTTGCAGAAGTTTATATATCTTCTCAATTCATTCAAAACAAAACAGATGTTCAGCTCTTTAATCTCCTTGAAGAAATCTCTCTAGGAGCCTTCTAATCTGGATCTAACTCCGATAACCTCCTGAGAAATGGTATTTGGGAGAAAAATTTGAGACCCTGTACATATCAAAATGTCTTTTTCTATCTCTGTTACTGATAGTTTGGCTGTTATGAGAGTCTAGATATTCCCTAAAATCTATTCTTCTGTGGTGCTATAACAATAGCTGGCCACCTAGATAAGGATTGGATTTCCCACACCCCGGAGCTGGTTTAGACCATATGACTAAGTTTCCTTCAACGGAATGTGAGCATAAATTATATGGGCCACTTTCTAGCCAGACCTCTGAGATGTGCCTCCTCAACATTTTTTCTTTCTCCTCCCTGCCAGCTGAGACCCAGGGATGCCAGCAACCCAGTTTTAACACTGGAGACAGCAATGCCCTTGAGCAGTGTTTCCGAGATTTTACTGTGCATAGAGCTCACCTGGGGATCTTCCAACACAGATTCGATAGGTCTGTGGTGCGGCCTGAGATTCTGCATTTCTAACAAGCTTTTATGTAACACTAATGGTGTTGGCCTGCAGACCACACTTTTGAGTATAAGACCCTGAAGGAAGGCAGAGCTGCACTGCTAGCCTGGGTCAGTGTGTGATTTGTGGAGCACACTGAACTACTTTTTGAGAAAAAAATGTTAAGTTCTACTTTGTTGAGTCATTGCATTTTTAGCCTTAGCTGGAGTACAGAATTCCAGATTATTAATCTCTTTATCCCAAAAAGTTGAAGGCACTGATCTACTGTCCTCTAGTCTGGAGTGTTACTATTAAGAGGCCCAGCACCATTCTGATTGCTGATCCTTAGCATGTGGTCTGTTGTCTTTCTTTTGTCTTTCCCAAAAAAGCTTTTGCAAGACTTTTGAGTCTAGTATTCCGATAGTTCATGATGTGCCTTGATGCTGGCCACTTAATGGGTCCTTTTCATCTGGAAGCACATGTCCTTTCTTCTTTATTTTCTCTGATCTCTTATTGAATTTAAGCCCCCTGAACTGATTCTCTAATTTTCTTTTTTCTTTTTCGTATATGCCATCTCTTTTCTTTTGTTTTACTTGTTGGAAGAGTTCCTCAATTTCTCTTTCGATCTTTTTGCTAGTTTTTCATTCCTTCCCTCATGGTTTTGTTTTTTGTTTTTTTTAAGTGTGTTTTCTTGGATTCAATCCTTTATTACAGTATCTCTTATCTAAAAGTGTCTGATGTGCCTTGATGCTGGCCACTTAATGGGTCCTTTTCATCTGGAAGCACATGTCCTTTCTTCTTTATTTTCTCTGATCTCTTATTGAATTTAAGCCCCCTGAACTGATTCTCTAATTTTCTTTTTTCTTTTTCGTATATGCCATCTCTTTTCTTTTGTTTTACTTGTTGGAAGAGTTCCTCAATTTCTCTTTCGATCTTTTTGCTAGTTTTTCATTCCTTCCCTCATGGTTTTGTTTTTTGTTTTTTTTTAAGTGTGTTTTCTTGGATTCAATCCTTTATTACAGTATCTCTTATCTAAAAGTGTCAATATTCTCCTTAAGTTTTACTTTATATTGTCTAAAGTGTTGTGGGTTTGGCTTTTTTTTTTTTTTCCATGTTTATTTTGGTCTCTACCTTTCATGTTAGAAAGTTTCTTCAAATATCTAGAAATCCTTTGCCTTATGTCTGCTCAGATGTAAGAATGAGGTGCTAAGAAGTTGACTAAAAGATCTATGGACACAGTTGGGACTTTCCAACTGTGGGTTTCACTATAGGGTGATCTGGCTAACTGCTTTGTTGGAGAATCCCTGATGTTAATACCCTTAGGTCTTTTCTCTGACTAGTCAAATTCCCCAGATAAAAGCCTTCCAATCTCTGGCCTGGAAGGTATAAGCCTAGTTGGCAGAGTTTTAGAAACCACCACGCTGTAAATAAACTTTCACTTCTTTGTTTTCAATACAACCATGCCCAGGTGTCTTCCATCCTCTATTTTCCAGCTCCAACAAATAAACCTCCAGAAATATGATGGATTGGGGGGTAAGTAGTTGCCAAGATATATGGGGTAAAGGAGAAGATTGGGAGCTGGACTAACTACTTCAAAGAATCCTAATTTTAGTACTACTACACCCCAGTTGTACATGATGCCACTCATTTAAGGGTATATCTAAACTTCACCACTAGCTTAGTTACCGCTTCATTGCTAAATCAGTTGCTACTTATCTTTTGGTTTTCGCTTCTATCTAAAGTTTTACTATTAACTCCTCTCTCTTTTGACCCCTTTATAAGACCCTCCTATTGTTATTTTATTAGGATTTAGTAGTCTGTCATGACAAAGTAACTACTTGAGCTAAAGCCAACCTGATGATTTAGGAAAGAGATGAAGTTAAATGCTAAATCTTTCAAGATTAACTGACAGTCTCCATTCATTTGCTATCTCTGTGCAAACTGGCTTCATTCTCAATCTTCCATTAGCTGTCAACATTGATCTTTCCAAAAGGGTAAATTTGGTCATAACACACTTCTTGAAAATCCTTCAAAGGCTCACAAATGCCATCAGAACAAAGTCCAAATTACTTAGCTTGCAAGACTTTTCCTGGCCTGTCTCCCTACTCCAATCTCACCAATCAAACCTAACCACTACCACACTCCATTCACTCCAAATTGAATCTCTTGCTGTACTTCAAATGTGCTGGACCTCTTCACATGCATTTGCCTATGCCAGTTCCCTTTTCCTCTCCAACCAAGTTAACCTTGAAGATTCAGTTCAAGCAGCACTTCCTCCCAGAATCCTTTCTCTGTGTTCCTGGCAATACACTCTGGGCATACCTCTAACAAAACGCCTGTGCCACTATCGCATGAGAGACTATCTCATTCACCCTTGTATCCCCAGCGCCCGTTACATAATAGACAACCAGAAAGGAAAAGGAGAAAAGGCTGAAATAGGCTAGCTTCTGAGAATATAGACTGTGTTTTAGTAGGGCCCCTGTTCAAGGGTAAGTGCTAGGGCGAATTATGTAACACTCACCAAGTCAAGCTTTTCCCCCAGGCCCCGATACACGGCGGAGTGGGGGAGGCAGACAGAAGTTCCATGGCTGTGTAGTCAGGAGGAATACCCCAGAGCTCCCACCATCATCACCCAGCACCAGCACACGCTCAATAAAATCTTGTAGACGAAATTAACTATAGACCACAAGATAGTGTCGTAGAGGTGGACAGGTCACAATTGCCTCCGGCTAGGGAATGTTTCCATACTGTCACACAGGTAATCCCGTGGCGGTGGCGCAGATCTAAGCATGCGCCGGACCCTCTGGGAGTTGTAGTTCACCCGGTAACCGCGAAAGGCGAGCCTGCGCTAGACACGCTGGGAATTGTAGTGTCGGCTAGAGAGCATGCTCTGCGCAGGCGCAAAAACCACAGCCTCTTCCGGGTTCCAGAGTCTCATTTCGCAAAAGAAGAAAATCCGGTGGGTTCCCAGAGTGACAATGGCTACCTACAGCCTGGCAAACGAGCGACTACGCGCCCTAGAAGACATCGAAAGGGAAATCGGTGCCATTCTTCAAAATGCAGGTTGGGGATACGACGACCGGGAGGAAGGGAGCGAGAGTGAGGCAGAGCCGCATGCATATACGCGGACTTGAGACTAGGAGTGGGGTTGGAGAGGGATCTTAGGTGCATGCGCGACGCGTGCGGGGTGGGAGGGGCTTGCCCTTGGGCGGGGCTGTACTGGCGTTCTCTGAGTAGCCCCGCCCTTTCTCTGCCCCGGCAGGTACAGTGATCCTGGAACTTTCCAAGGAAAAAACCAATGAGCGGCTGCTAGACCGGCAGGCGGCGGCCTTCACCGCGTCGGTTCAACATGTGGAGGCGGAGCTGTCGGCTCAGATCCGTTATCTCACTCAGGTGAGTGGGAGGGTGCAGTGCGCCCACTCAGCTTTCTGCCTTAAATTTCAGAGGTCCCTGGAGGAGCCTTGTCCTCCCTCAGGAGCCAGGCAGGACCAGGCCGCCCAAGCTGTGACTCGCAGAATCCTCCCTTCCAGGGTCGGTTTCTTCCCACTAAAAGGAAAAAATTAAAGGCTACCGTGCCTATTTGACTGGGCTGCATCATATGAGCCACTAGATGTCTCAGGAAGTCCTGGGAGAGGGCTCGTAAACACTTCCAAAGCTATAGGACTTTGCCCCCTAGAAACTTGACCTGACCTCAGGGGCATGAAGTCCCAGATAGCTACATCCTGAAAAAAGGAACAGGATTGAGTGGGTTCTGAAGTCATTACAACAGCAACCACCATTTACCAAATTTTTACAATGTGCTAAACACTGCATTATCTTATCTAATCATACAACAACCTCTATCTTCCAGATGAGGTTAACAGAAGTTAAGAGATTTGCCCTAGGTCATCCAGCTATCATGTGGCATAATAGATTCAAACTTAGAGAAGAAAGGAAGCAAGAGACCTGATACCTGGTTGGGGAGATGGGTAAGGGAGGGGGTGTTTCACTGACCAATTGAAATGTCCTGTAGGTGGCCACAGGGCAGCCCCATGAGGGCTCCAGCTACTCTTCAAGGAAGGACTGCCAGATGGCCCTGAAGCGAGTGGACTATGCTCGTCTTAAGCTCAGTGATGTGGCCCGGACCTGTGAGCAGATGCTGGAAAACTAGGCCAAGTCAGTGGAGAGGTTGGAGGGAGACCAGCACCTGCATCCCGGGACAGAAGTGGAGACCTGCAGGATGGCGAACATGGGCTGCCACGTACATGCTGGTCAGACAAAGGGGCAAAAGGAAAAACTTAAAGACCAAGCCTGCCCATAACTACTTGTCACTCCTCCAGGAGGGTGCTCCTGCTCTGCACTTCACAACAGTGCTGATGAGCTCAAACAGGAAAGATGGAAATTCGGACACCCAACCTACTTCCTCATGCACTTCATGTCCCTGTCCCAGGCTTCCGCGGACTTGGGCCAGTGAACACACATTTATCTTCATTGGAAGAGACAAAACAAGAACTAAGGGTTTTAATAATAAAAACAATAACAATAAAAACAAGGAGCTCAGCCTTTCACTGGGGCATATATGAGTGATGCAACAGATTAAGGAAGTAAAACTAGACTGTATGGCAGCTGCTGAGGGAAGGTGGGAAACTCCAAGCCTTCACTGTGGGTTCAGGGGAAGAAGCAGGAGAAGGCTAAAATTAGGAGGAATAGCTGGTATATTGTGAACAGTGACTTGGAAGAGGGGTGGGCAGAACAGGACCATCAGCAGAGAAGCTGAAGCCAGGAATCATCATAGGGGAACAAAGGCATGAGGCCAGTGTATGCAAAAAAAAAGTCTAATTATAAAAATAATTTTTAGTAAAAAATTTAAGATTTACTCAGTATAAAAGGTAGATATTACATTATAACATAGGAAGAAAAAAAAAAGGAATGGTCTCAGGGCAGTGGCTAGTTATTTACATATTAACCATTAACAAGTATGTACAAAGTGCCTACCATGTTCCAGAGATTGATTGAGTGCATTAAATGTGTATGATTCTAAATAAATCACAATCTCTATATTCACGAGCTTCCATTCTTAGTTCAAGCATTTGAGTCCGGTGTCACAGGTATGTAATGAAACTGCAAATCTGGAAAAGATAAAGAAATTGAGAGATGAGCTCTGAGATCTAGGGAAGTTGGGAGATAGCTTGAACTCGGGGGTCAGACTCCAAAATATTAACCATACAACCTGGTACACAGTAGGTGCTCAATAAAGATTTGTGAATTATGGCTCCCACCTTATTCCACAGCTTCATCTCCTACCAGCCTGCTCTAGATGTTATCTTGATGTTGCTCCAAGTACTGCCTAACTTCAAAGGCCAAGCACTGGTCACTGGGCCCATGGTGGTTTCCCTTCCTCCCAATTCCATAGTCTGGCTGACTCTTCTCTCATGACCTATGGTCCATGGTGCAGGCAGCTTTCATATTTGTCTGCCTGGGGCAGGTTTCCAGCAACCTGGGAGCTACTGGGGTCTGGATCCCTGCCAGGGAGGCTCTTGTCCCTTGGGGGAGGGATTCAGAGGCCTAGTTTACCTGGAGGGTACTGCAGTGATGGCTTTCTCCTCTTACACAGCACATAGAGGAGTACTCCAATGAGGATGAAAACGATGGCCAAGAGGGACAGCACTGGCACCATCACTGATATTTCAGCTGTAGGACCCATATTTTCTTTCATCTGCTTCTGGTTCTCCCCAGCCTCCAGACTGCTGCCCACAGAGGAAGTACTGGTTTCATTGGTGTGGGTGAGCTTTTTGTCCAAGGACAGTTCTCCTGCTGGAAGGGTAGGCTGCTGGGTAGACTGCAGCAGGATGGGTGGCAGATACCTCTGGACAGGGGTGCCCACGTCTGAAGGTGAACTTTTTGTGAGCTCAGGAACCTGGGTGCTAGGGGGACGTAAATGCTCCCGGTGAACCACTCTCCTGTAGTAATCATGTCCACATTCTGGAGAGGCAAGAAGTGAGGAATCAGGGCTGAGGGCACAAGGTGAAGAAGTAGATAGAGGGAAGGGTAATGGGTCAAGGAGAACATCAAGGGAACAGCTGAAGGCCAGGTGAGGAAGACAGGGGGAGGGGATAAGTGGGGGAGAAGGAAATGAGGCAATCACAACATGGAACCACTGGGAAAAGTGTACAAAAGACCTGGGTTGGAACCCTGGTCCTGCTATAAAGTAGCCGTGTGACCTTGCCCCTTGTCTTTTAATCTTTCTGAGACTCATTGTGGAGATAGTTTTAATAGCAAGGGCCAGGGTAGCTCAGAGGATTAAATGGAATAATGTAGGTCCATAGAGCCTAAGGGGCAGTAAGTGTACCACTGAAGCTACGCAAGATAACTTTGGGTGAGACAAGGAAAATATTTTATATTTTAATGGTTGTATATTTTAGGAGAAAATTACAACCAATGTATCAAATTTGTGACTTCACAGATATTATTGCTTAGGACAAATCGCTATTTAAGTTTTTCAAAAGTGACTTTTGTATACATAAGATTTATTCATTTCATTGTATGTAAATTTTACCTCAAAAGAAAAAAAACAATAAGATATTGAACTCTATTTATTTATATGCATGCTGAAATGTTTGGGGACAAAGGATAGCCATGCCTGAACTCACTTGGAAATGCCTCAGAAAATAAGGTAGGCTTATGATGGACAGAGGAATAAACAGATAGATGTGCAATAAAGCATATATAATTAAAATGTTGTAAACCTGACACTGTAAAATATAAAATATATACTTTATTATGTACATACAAAATATGTAAAATATAAACAAAAATCAAATATTATAGAATCTAGGTAGTGGGTATATGAATATTCACTACAATTCTTTCAACTTTTGTATATTGTTTGTTTTTAAATTTCCATAATAAAATACTGGAAGACAAAAATAGTACCTTGATTTCAAGAAAAATATTAATTATAGCACAGGTGATAAGGATGAATTGGCAAAAATCATGAAAGTGCTGGTGAATGATGTTTGGTAAACAGGAACTTAACTAAATGAAAGTACTTTGGCCAGCATCAGAACATAAATGTGAGGTGTCACAGGAAAGGGCTAAGGCAAAGAAAATTGTAAGGTGGAGGCTAGGATCCCTGGAGACAGAACCTGAGGAAGAGGGGGAAAGCTCTCACCTCCGAGATCCAAGCAGCTCACCAATTCAATCACCCATTGTTCTTTGCTCCCCCCACACACAGTCCGGGAACGTAGGTGGAACCTGCATATAGAGGACTTGGTCTCAGCTTCATTCCACCCCTTCCCTTCCCCAGCTGTTTCCTCATTCCAAAGTCATGAGGTCACCAAGAGCGACCCATTTCTGCTGAGAGGGAAATTCCCAGGTAGGTGGGACAAGAAAGTGGTGTGGAGAATTAGCAAACATAACTTAGAAAGGGGGTAGGTCCTCCCAGAAAAAGTTCAAGTTTGACTAGAGGGTCCTGAAGGTACCTGGCAGGGAGGGATTGTGCAGGTGCTGTCCTCCCAGGGGTGGATGAAATTACCTGATGTAGGAAGTACACCGATCATAAACTTTCAGGTGATTTCGTAGATGTTCTATGATGTGAACCGGGGGAGTGCCAAAATAAGATTTATTACAGTAACAACTTCCAGTGCTGCTGCCCTCGTTGCCATAGCCTGAGTAGGACAGAGACGGTCAGCACAGGTTCCCAGGCCAAGGGGCTACCCTAGCTATTATTTAGCCTCCAACTCACTGCCCTATTGCAGCCTCCCCCTTAACCCTGGGATCCGACCCACAGTCTCAACGCATACATCAAATGCCCCCAAATACATTCATAATCCTACCCAGGTGTCCCCCAGCCTGACCCTAACTCCAGGCACCTGGCCCTCTCCCTTCACCAGTTGTGCCTGGCTCCCCACTTATTCAATCGCGCCGCCCTAGTGCACCCCCCCCACACACACACACACACTCACACTCTTCCCCAGATTGGGGTATCGGCCCTAGCCCGTCCCCTGACGAACCTAGCAGAGTCAGCCACGCTAGCAGAAGAAATGGGAGCATGAGGGACTGAGGTCTCCAGTCTTTCCACATCTCGGGGCCACCTGGCCCTGTCCAACTCCTAGTCAGGCTCTGGAGGGTGACGTCCAGCTGGTTTATCTAAGGCTTTCGCTTCCTTCCCGCGTTCCGCCTGAGATTCCAGGAGAGAAAGCGGCCGTGGACGTCCAGTCCCGCTGAGAAGGGTGCGCGAGGTGACGGCGCCGCTCCCTCCCTCTCGGATCTCACAGCGTCTGGAACCGACAGTGCGGTCAGTACGGTCGACTCCTCCTCGAGGCCGCCGGCCTCCCGCAGTGGGGAAACCCCCGGAGGCAGAGCTCCTTCGCCTCCGTCCCCGTGCTGCGTCCCGAGCCTTGGTCGAGGAGTTGGCCAGAAAGGTTTGAAGACAGCCAAAGAAAACTCCGGCGTCGAGGCGGAGCAAGTGGGCAGTGACCCGACCCGCTGATTCGATGAGGGATGCCAGCCCCGCCCGTCCGCCTACTCACCTCAGCTAGGTCCACGGGACCTGGGACACGGGTGAGCGTCTACATCCCACTTCCTCCTTCAAGACTCTTGCTTTCACTTCCCAGGCAGGGGTCCTGGCATAGCCGGATCCAGTCACATGGCCGGGGTGATGTCCGAGTGAGCAGCTGAATGGCCACTGGCCAGGGCCGCCTGGGTACACGGCGCTGACTCGCAGGGGGATGGCCACCCGAGGGATGGGCTGTGGACTCCACGCCCTGACGTCACGACCGCCCCTTCTCCCCGCGCTCCTCCTCCCCCGCGCCGAGGTATTTACCTTCGAAAAGTGGTGGCGGCTGCAGGTACCGGAGTAGTGGAGCGGCTGGGAGGGGCTGGGTCTACTGGGGCTCACCACCAAACCGATCCAAGCCGAAGGGACACTCAAGCTTCTGTTCCCTCCTCCTGCACCCCACAGATGGATCCAAACTTCTTCGCTCCTTTTCAGATACTTCCCAATAGGATCAGCCGTCCCTCATCTCTATCCCAACTCAAACCTTACTTTTGAGGGTTTGAGCCTCAGATTTTGAGCCCCAAATGCCATCTCACTCCTAAGTATGTCTCTAACCCTAATGGCCCACTTTCAAATCTAGCCCCCATTCTCATCCCTGGACTCCCATCCTCTACCCTGAAAACTCTATATTCTCGGCTTCTAACATTCATCCATAGATCCCACCTTAAGTGACCCTCAAACTCACCCTCCCCATTTTGTGACCCAGACCCAAATTACCATCACCCTCTCCCTGACCATATATATCCCTTTCTCTGCTTAGTCTGGGCCAAGACCCTGTGCCCCTGAAGACATGGAGTTTGTGTCTGGATACCGAGATGAGTTCCTTGATTTCGCTGCCCTCCTCTTTGGCTGGTTCCACAAGTTCGTGGCAGAGCGTGGGGCTGTGGGGGCCAGCCTTGAGGGCCGCTGGCGACAGCTAGAGGCTCAGATCAGAAGGCTGCCCCAGGACCCTGCCCTTTGGGTGCTCCACGTTTTACCCAACCATAGTGTGGGCATCAGCCTGGGGCAAGGGTCAGAGCCAGGCCCCGGACCAGGCCTGGGGGCCACCCGGCTCCTGGGAGAGGAGCCCCCACTTCACCTGCGAGACCTAAGCCCCTATGTCAGCTTTGTCAGCCTGGAGGAAGGGGAGGAAGGGGAGGAGGAAGAGGAGGAAGAGGAGGAGAAAGAGAATGGAGAGGAGGGTGCAGGCACAGAGAAGAAGGTAGAATCAGAGGAGGATGGAGAGCTGGCCCATACCAGCAGGGAGTCCCCCCAGGAATCAAATCCTCCAGGGGAACCAGAGGAGACTGAGCAGGAGGCAGGAGGTGGTGAGGATGGCTGCCAAGAGGACAGGGCAGAAGAAGAAACAGGGCCTGAGAAGAGGAAGGAACGGAGAAGTGGTAAGAACCCAGGGCTGGCCCTGCGCTGCCCCCTGCTCAGGCAACTCCCCCTCTGAAGCCCTGCTATACCACTCAGAACCCAGTTAGGAGTCACAAACAAGAGAGTGGCTTCAGGCCAGTCTGGCCTGAATAGGTGTTTTCATTGACCACAGTGTGTTTTGTTTTTTAGTTTGAGCCAACATTTAAAGATTAAGAGAAAAAAACTCCCAAAGTCTACAGTTATATCTTCTCAAGAAAAATCTAAAGTCCTGACAGCAGGCCCACATTTCTGCATGGCAGCAAATGCTGGTACTATGTATCAGCTGTCCCCTTCAGATGAAGCATACCCTCTCTACCTAGTCCCCTTTACTCAGTTCACTTGCCTAGCCCCTATAGGTATTTGAGTTTGGCACCTGGACCCTAATCATCTTTGCTACCCACCACCCACAACTTTTTCCTTTTTCCCCAGAGGCTGCCCCCCTGCACCTCTCCTGCCTCTTACTGGTGACAGACGAACATGGCACCATCTTGGGCATTGACCTGCTAATGGATGGAGTCCAGGAGAGTACAGGCAGGAGCTCAGGGACAGAGAACCTGGTTCCTAGGGCCTATGCTCTCCTCTGCCACAGCATGGCCTGCCCCATGGGCTCTGGAGACCCTCGAAAGCCCCGACAGCTTACTGTGGGAGATGCCCAACTGCATCGGTACAGAAATCTGATATCTGAGGGTGGGGAAGCCTAGGAGCCCAGACTTCTGAGCCCCCTAGCCTGATGCCCCTCTCCACCCCCATTTAGAGAGCTGGAGAGTCTGGTCCCAAGGCTAGGCGTGAAGTTAGCCAAGACTCCAATGCGGACATGGGGTCCCCGGCCAGGCTTCACCTTTGCCTCCCTTCGGGCTCGAACCTGCCATGTTTGTCACAGGCACAGCTTTGAAGTGAAGCTGACGCCCTGGTGAGCAGCCTGCGAAGATGGAGTAAGAGGGAGGAAGACTCCAACAGTCAGGAAAATAGAGGGAAAGCAGGCTGGTGGGGGACCCTGAAGACAGACAGAGGGATAGGGAAATGAGACAAAACAACAAACTGTTACAGGCAGAGAGAATACAGATGAATAGACCTAGTGATACCTGGGCAGCTGCAGGGCTGATAGAGAGCAGACAGAGGACTTAACAGAGATTAACACTGAGTGTCCACCAACCCCTGTGACCCCAGCCCCCAGTGTAATGCTGTCTTGTACTGTGGAGAGGCCTGTCTCAGGGCTGACTGGCGGCGATGCCCAGATGATGTGAGCCACCGATTCTGGTGCCCAAGGCTTGCAGCCTTCATGGAGCGGGCAGGAGAACTGGCAACTCTGCCTTTTACCTACACTGCAGGTACCATAAGGAGGTCAGGGTGAGGAGAAGGAACTGGGAATCGGTCTTTGAGTCTGTGGCCTGGGTGTCTGGGAACAGGGTCCTAAGATTGAAGGTTAAGTACCTGGGCCTGTAGTCTGGATCTCTGAAATAAGGGCTGGGTACTGGGTATTTAGATTTGGGGACTAGAACCCTAGGGCTGGAGACAGGGTCTCTGGAGCCGAGGACTGAGCACCCGGATCCCTGAGGGAGCTTAGGGGATTTGGGAGTAGTGATTCAACACTCGTTTCCTAGCTCCAACACTAAGTGGCGACCTTAAACAAATCACTTTTTTTCTTAGTATCTCTATTTCCTCATCTGTAAAATAGGGATACCAACAGATGTTCTCAGAGAATTGTAAGAATTCTGTAGGCCGGATGCCTGCTATACTGTAGACACTCAGAAATGGTAGTTCTCTCCCTGACTAGCACCAGACTCAGACCCAGGGGCCTTGGGAGAGACTGAGGAGAGCTAAAGTCTGGGGTCCTAGCCACCAGGCTTTCAACCCCTCTCCTCCTCCTTCTCTAGAGGTGACCAGTGAAACCTTCAACAAGGAGGCCTTCCTGGCCTCACGGGGCCTCACTCGTGGCTACTGGACCCAGATAAGCATGCTGATTCCAGGCCCTGGCACCCCCAGACACCCCCAGGGCAGCACACCATTCCTCAGCCTTCTTCTCAATGGTGCGTGGGAACTCTCTTCGGGCATGGGCCTCTCAGACTAGAGGAAAGGATGGGAGAGAAAAAAGTTGTCCGGGTCCTAGATAATCCCTCTATATACACGCTAAAACCTACCATTACCACCAGAGCCATTTTAGTCCCTTCGCCAATCCTCTCTAAGAAGTCACCACTGTCCACCCCAACCAGAAACTCCATCCCTAGGCAACTCCCATTCCTCTTGCTGCAGCTCCAGGTCTTCTCTCAGGTAATACAGCTCCTTTGGAAGGGAAAGGGGGATTGGCCAAGGCCGGGTCTTTCTGACACAAAGCTCCTCTTTCCTCCTCTCAGGAGATCCCTACCAGCTTCTCCAGGGATACGGGCCTGCCCTGATGCCTCCTGTGCCCCTAGAGCCACCCAGGTGCCTCTTTGGTGAGCTGAAGGAACTAGGGGTAGGGACAGCGACTGGAGAGCCAGCAGTCTAGATGGCTGAGATAAAGGGGCCTATTAGACTAGAAAGATTGGGGTCCGGGCCTAGGGCCAGGTGCCCCAGTAACGCATTCTCCCTAGGCTCGTGGCAAGATTACTACTCATGGCGGGGACTCAGCTTGGACTCCCCCATGGCTGTACTGCTCACATACCCGCTGACTGTGTACTACGTCATCACCCATCTTGTGCCCCAGTCCTGTAAGAAAAGAAGAGGTGGGGGGAGAGGGGGCAGGGGAGGAGTGTATGGCGCACGGGGGACATGGAGCTGGTAGGGGACAGGAGGAAAGAGGAGGGAGACCATATCCTTAAAAAGCTAGCTTCTCACCCAGTCCCTGAGCTCAACATCCAGAACAAACAGTCCTTGAAAATCCATGTGGTGGAGGCCGGGAAGGAATTTGACCTTGTCATGGTGTTTTGGGTAAGTCTCTCCAGGCCTGAAGGTTGGGCATTTGGATGTGAAAGTAGATGCAGGGTGGGCCCCAGATCTGTCCTCTCTGTCCTTTAGGAGCTCTTGGTCCTGCTCCCCCATGTGGCCCTGGAGCTGCAGTTTGTGGGTGACGGCTTGCCCCCTGAGAGTGACCAGCAGCACTTTACCCTGCAGAGAGTGAGGGCTAAGGGGGGGGTGGGTCTTGCTATTCAGCCCTGATCCTCTTACTGTCTTCCTGATTGGACCCTGCCCTTCCACTCCCTCCTCCCCACTCCTATCTTGCCTGATGCATCCACCAGTACCCTAATTTCCAGT